ACCTTCTCTACTCATCAAAGTGAGTCAGGATACCTTTTTAACAATACATTGAGATGAAAAATATTACTCTGCATTAAAATAATGAATTACACTTTCTTTAAAAATCTTATAATTCAACATTATTACTTTTTTACAATCCCAATTAATAAGGTTGTATTATCACATTTTCATAACTAGACTATCAAGAGAAAGAGTGCTGTACTTCATTCTGGTTGTTACACCCATATACCTGTTATCTGCCTCCCTTAATATTTACCCTTAAGGAATGAAACTCCTGATGTTACTATACTTGTATAGCCTAATGTAAAACGATAGGCTATATAACTATAAGGCCCTCACTAGGGGTGAGTTAAATGTTTGAGCAAATATAGCAGGCTAATTTTTTAGTTGATAATTTTGAATGGCCCATAAATGATGTTATAACAATATCCAAATGGCCCTGGGCAGAAAAAAAGGTTCCCCAACCCTGGTTAAACTATAATTCCTCTTAAAAACCAAACCAACAAACCATATTCCAGCAAGTGTTAGTGATTAAGAGTACTTATTTTTCTGAAGAGTTTAATATTTTGGAAATTCAAGCTGCAGAAAAATCAATAAATGATATAGTGTAATCTCACGCTGACATCGTGTGACTTACTGAAATGTAACATCACAAAAAAGTCGTGAGGTTCAGGGTAATTATGGTATTACCGGGAACATGTATTTCTTAAGATATAATTCCAACAAAATATACATATGATGTGAACAATACTCTGTAGCTTATAAGGTACATTTATAAATACTCAAATTAAGAAAGGTATTATTAGTCCCATTTTCCAAATAAGTAAACTGAAGTTCTGCAAGATTAGCTCATTTATCTCAACTAACAAGTCTAATAAGTAAAAAACCCTTTACATTCACAAACACAGATGCATGTAAGTACATGCCAAGGACTCACAGGTAACAATAAAACCCTATATGGCGCCTTCAAAAATATTACAGTTAGCTCAGGCTGGTATGGCTCAATTGGTTGGAGCATCATACTGTACACCAAAAGGCTGGGGAGGCTGGGGTTTAATCCCTGGTCAGGGCCCATACTTGGGTTGCAGGTTCAATTTCTGGTATGAGAGGCGAGAGTTCGATGTTTCTCACATCGACTTCTCCCTCCCTCCCCCTCCCCTCCTTTCCTTTCCCTATCTCTAAAATCAATGGGCATGTCCTTGGGTCCAAGGATTAAAAAAAACACACCAAGTATTCCAGTTAAAGACTTAAAAATGCAGTGTACAGCAGAATATCAATTTTCCTCCACTCACCTAACAGTAAAAAATATATACACAATGTTGATGACAATTCCATGGAATTGGCACTTTTATTCATTGTTGAAGGCTTTATAAACTGGTACACTCCAATTCTATTTCTGGGAAGGTATCCTATGAAAATACTTCAAAATACGGAAAAGGCTATAGATTATTTATAACATCTTAGATGCTTGGCATCTGAGATTTAAAATTTGAGTTTTGACACTGGTAGTTTTAACAGCTTGTGAGAGAACCGCAGGTTGATCCACAGCATATGCAAAGTTGCTATGTGAGCGAGAAAGTCACGTAACTAACTAGTAAGTGAGCCTGACTGCCAGCATTAGCTTCTCTTTGTGGTCTCTACTAGTTCTCCAAGCAGAGACATTTTTAAAACGGGGGAGAAAAAGAAAAGCGTCTTTGTTAAAAAATTGTTTTTAAAAGTAAAAATCCCTAAAATAGTAAGCCAATTATTTGGCTGGTAATGAAAGTGAAGAGATCTAAGAAAGTACTGATATTTGTGGGTTTGGAATTGGTAATGGCCTTAGGTTACATTTCTTTTTAATGCCATAATTCTACTGTAGTGAAAGGTTAGAAATATGATTAAATATTCAACAATAGAGAAATGACCAATTAAACCACAACCTATCTAATCACTCAGTGGCTGAATCAGGGTAATGGAATTATAGATAATGTTTTTTACATTTCAAAACATTTTATATGACATTAAATAGAAGAGGGAACAGCTATTAATTCATCTCACGAGGTCAGCATTATCCTGATATCAAAAACTAACAACTTTATAAGAAATGAAAACTGCAGGCAAATATTCCTCATTAACACAGGTGTAAAATCGTTAACAAAATATTACTAAACTGAGTCTAGAAATATATACATCATGACCAAGGGAGGTTATCCCAGGAAAACTATTGCTTAAATTTTCCAGTTACAGACATAAGTGTAAATATACTTTTTGGTATTTGTACTACATAACAATGTTAATAAAGACAAAGGCTAGATCCGGTTCATTCAATTTAACTCTGAAATATTGCTATAAAACTTCTTAATCAAGTTAATTTTAAATCTTTCTCAGTCAAACAAATACCTCAATTAAAAATCTGTTCATTTAAAATATCTTCAGTCAGTTCAAAGATTAGAATTAAGCTATAATTACAACATACTTTAAAGATAGAATTCAACATTTCTTAGAATAATCAAGTCAAGGCTGTCAAGGAAAACATTTCTTCAGAAACATCCCAAGCAGTATGGTTGCACTGCCTATTGTGAGACTTACTGACAAAGAGTGCTCAACCCCTTAGAGCAGACTTTGTGCTCTTTTGCTGGATAATTCTAAAAATATAGAGAATTCCTCTTTATATTAGTTTGAAATCTACTTTCCTTCAACTTTTACCCATTGGCAAAAATAATGACTTCTGAGATAAAAAGGGAGATTAAATCTCCATTTACATAATCATCCCTCAATCACTTGAAAATAACTACTAAGTCACTTTTTGGGCTTTTCTTATTCAGGCTAATTTAACTGAATTCTCTCAACCATTGTTCATGTGATAATGGGGTTACAAAACAGCACCACTTTCCTACAGGACTATGCAGGAGACATGTCCATTCTAATATTTTTACTACAATAGTCACTCAATTCTCAAACATTAAAACATATGCTTTTTTCCCCCAAATAAAAAGAACCCATGCATTCTCAATGCAAAAATATACTAGCTGTAAGAAACAGAAAAAACTGAATATAGAATATTTAATTTTAAGAAATAGTGTTATTGGTTAGTATTCGTCCATCTAGAGCAGTGGTTCTCAACCTTCCTAATGCCGCAACTCTTTAATACAGTTCCTCATGTGGTGACCCCAATTTCAGTTACAAATTGAACATAATTAAAGCATAGTGATTAATCACAAAAACAATATGTAATTATATATGTGTTTTCTGATGGTCTTAGGCGACCCCTGTGAAAGGGTCGTTCGACCCCCAAAGGGGTCGTGACCCACAGGTTGAGAACCACTGATCTAGAGGCTGAAAGAGCTGAATCCTTGTCTAAAATTATACCTAGCTTTAAAAGATAAACTTTTGGCTCCTTCAACTTTCAACAATATGTTCTGTTATTGACTAAAATATTGCTCTACTATTTTTTTTTCTCTACCCTGTGTTCTAACTACTGGTAAAACAGTATGGGGTCAGTGAGTTATGGCCTTCTGAAAATTAATGGGAGTGTGAATGGAGACAAGGGAGGGACACTTTCTAACTAATTAGAATTATCTTAGGTTTTCATTTAATAAAGAGAGCATCTCATTTTGCAAAAACAAAGTTTAATTCAAAATATTTTTAAGGCACATGATGAGAAACCCAGGCCATTAAAATTTTAAATAAAACTAGTCATTCTTTGAAATGTGAATAATTACTTCTTAATTTATAATTAGGATTTTGAAATACACTTTTTTTTTTTTTTTTTTTTTAACATATAGGATTGGGTAAGAGATGCAAATATCTGCCCACAATCTCAATCAGACTTTAGCTTTTGGGGTCTGGCCTGAGAAATTGGAACAGAAGTAGAAAAATAAGCTCCAAAGAGCTTCCGCTTGAGAGAAATGTCGTCCACAAGGGACTCTGAACTCAAGCCTGAACTTTTCCAATGCTTCCTTCTATCTCAAGTCCCTGAGAAACTGGAGGTGGGTCGGTAAGGAGGGGGGCAATAGTAAATCCTTCTCTACTGGAGAGGGTGGGAGTAACAAGTTATACTTGTTGAAAAAAAAAAAAAAGAAGATATACATGTATGTAAAAAGCAGTAACATGCAAAATCAACATTGCTTGCAAAGGTACATGCTGATTTGCCCAGGATTGTTGAAAAGCTGTATACACTAGAAAATAATCCTCTTTTATCCTAGCTTTTGTCTTTGTTTAGCTGACATGATTTTAATTAGTACTGTACTACTCTAAAAAAAGTTGAACGGTTCAGGCAGTTATACAAATCACTTACTATGCCATACTTTTTTGACTATTCACAGCAAATCTGAGATGGAAAACTAAGTATTACATATTTTGTATTAGTGAAACCTAAACTAATTAATTGAGGTCTAGTGGGGTTATGGGTGAAGAGTCCACTTATGAATTACATATTTTGAAAAAAGTTTAATGACTTTATTTATTAAAAATATTTTTTATTGATTTCAAAGGGGAAGGGAGAGATAGAAACATCAATGATGAGAATCATTGATAGGCTGCCTCCCGCAAACCCCCTACTGGGCATTGAGCCCACAACTCAGTCATGTGCCCTTGACTGGAATCGAACCCGGGACCCTTCAGTCCACAGGAGAACACTCTATCCACTGAGCCAAACCAGCTAGGGCAAAGTTTAATGACTTCAGAACACAAGGTACCTGGATTCAAGTTTCTATATCCTGAGAATACTGGAATCAAACCTAGGAAGGTTTACTTTCATAAATAAACAGGAATAATTTGAAGTTAGTAAAATCAAAATAAGTTGGCAAGAGTCAAAACACTAAGTCCTAAGTAATTAAGAATTAAATTATGTATGCAAATGCCATGTTAACTTCCTCCCCAAAACATTCCTAAAAAATAAGATTTTTAAAATTTATGCTTCCAAAGAGGAGTTAATCTTTTTCTCTGTGACATCTAAAATGCACTCAACATCCTAAAAGGAATAAAAACAAGTCAACATTTAGTTAGTATCTAATTCTTACCTGGAACCCACTTAATTTCCATTTCCATATCATTTTCTTTTCTTTTCTTTTCTTTTTCTTGAATAACTTGCAAGAGTTGCCTATATTTAGCAATTTGTTCTTCATCATCTTTCTGATGTTTTTTTGTTTTCCCATCTTCTTCTACATTGACTTCAGCATCACCTAACAAAAAAAAAATCAATTTCATTTAATATCTACATCTCTCTATATAAAAGCCTAAGCAACGGTTATGACCAGACAACTGGATGACCAGCCGGTAGCTATGACGGGTTCTGGCCACCAGGGGGCAGACGCTCAATGCAGGAGCTGCCCCTGGTGATCAGTGCGCTCCCACAGCCAATCTCCCATGGCCAGCCAACCCCCACGGGCCCTCCCCCTGGCCGGCCCTGATCGGGAATGGTTGAGATGGCCCCCATCGGCCCTGGTCACCTGCCAGGCCGAGGGACCCCACCCATGCATGAATTCGTGCACTGGGCCTCTAGTACAGAAGTAATTCACACCTAACTCCAGACATACTGTAATAATAGAATATCAAAACTAGACAAACTTCTTTTTTTTTCTTTATAGATTCAGAGAGAGGAAAGGAGAGGAAGAGAGATAGAAACATCAATAATGAGAGAGAACCATTGATGGGCTGCCTCCTGCAAGCCCCCTACTGGGGATTGAGCCCACAACCCGGGCATGTGCCCTGAGGGAATTGAACCAGGACTTCCTGGTACATGGGTTGATGCTCAAGCACTGAGCTACACCAGCCATGACAGACTTAACCTTCTTAATATTAAATGAATTGAATTAAAAACTTATGTCTTATTTATAATAAAAATATGTTGCAATATAAGTTAGTACTGTCATAGCACTTGGGAATATCACTTTTTATTAAAATTCATATCTAAAAATAATTCTGTAGTCATGTAACATCCTTAAATTTATGTTCCCTATAAGCAAAACAACAGGGATGGCATTTTATCCTTCTTTTATGTTCTCCACCATCCACCAAAATGTTATGGTCAATAAAAGAAGGCTAAATATTTTTGGGATACATTTGATACATGGACTTAGCTGTGCAGGCTGAAGAGACAAATAAAGTTGCTTATAATCCAAAACAAAGAATAATGAGTCCTTTCGATTTGATGGTGAGCAAGTATGATGATTCTCAGGATCTCATTAATACATTAACAAAAATGAATGTTAGAAGTTTACTCAATTTCCCTATGTGGAAAAAACATTCACATTTCCATTTCCCAATTTTATAAAAATAATTAGAATACAAAGGAACAGTATAAAACTCGTGGGTAACAAATACCAAAGAAAACCAATACGTGAAAAGTTTGTTTGCTCTATATTTCCACTGTAATTCTCCAAGGCAAAACCATAAATTAAGAACCTGGGTTTTAATGCAAAACATACAGACTTACTGAATGGACTAAATGTCCCAGTAAAGAAAAATTTAGAAGTAGCAAAAAGAAGACCCTCTTTTCTATGAGCTATGACTAAATTGTAACTAAAAATGTCTGACATTACTAAGCATTTAGCTGTGAAACATCAATGTCAATATACTGTCCTTACATCTTTAAAAAGGTGATATGGAAAAAAGATTGGTTAAGTAAATGTTTTTACAGTTTTTTTTCTCTAAATGAATAAAAAATAGTCCAGGACATTCTTTCCATCCTATCACACTTTTACATTTTCACTCAAACAGCTGAAATTCATTTTTTTCCTGTTTGTGCTTTGTGCCACAATAATAATGTTGGATTGAATTCTGTCATGTATCCCGTAATTCAATGGATAAAACATCAGGAACACATTAACAAAATGGCAATGTATTTCTTTCTATTAAAAGCTTACTTCTGAAAACATAATTAGAAGCAAGCTCCTTCCAGGTTGAAATTTTAGTGGTAAGTCTCTGATGGCCTACTTTAAATTGATTTTTTCCAGTACTAAAATTTACTTTCTGAAGCCCTAGAATGTGGGATAATTCATGTAGGTCTGTTTTTCCCCAATTCAAGGACAATACTTTGTGAAAGCCTTAATACTATATAATGAGTGAACAAATTAATTGTAACAGTAAGAAGCCCTCCTATGATCTCTTATAAACAACACCAGGAACATCTAATAACTCTAAGGCATTCAAATATACTATTGTATCTAACAGAGGTACTAAATTACAGATTCAAGTAAGCTTGCAATCAATTCAAATACTGAAGAAAAATGCATGCTTTAAATAACTTAATGAGTCATATATTTCACACAAAAAGCCATTAATCCTTAAAGTTTTAAAAGTAAAAAATATGACATGAGGTAGTATGCTAAGCACTATATGTATATTATTGCAATCTTTCCAACGATGAGCCAGGCTCTATTATGACTCTCATCTTATAGCTATGGAAAGAAAGGCACAGAGGCTAAGAAAACAAATAGCTTCACTATGTCGTAAAGACAGAACTTGAAACCAGCAGACCCAATCTTATGTAATAAAAAGTCCAGAAGTCAACTAGCTCCACAGTTAACTCAGCAACTCTATGATGTTGTCATAGACTCAGGTTTTCTTTATTTCTCTACAATTTCCCATTCTCAGTGTGCTGGTTTTGTTTTCCAGAAGCTCCAGTCATGGTAAAAGATGGCTACAGAAGTTCTACCTTCACCTCCTAAAATGACAACATCTAGAACAGTGGTTCTCAACCTTCCTAATGCCACGACCCTTTAATACAGTTCCTCATGTTGTGGTGACCCCCAACCATAAAATTATTTTCGTTGCTACTTCATAACTGTAATTTTGCTACTGTTATGAATCGTAATGTAAATATCTGATATGCAGGATGTATTTTCATTGTTACAAATTGAACATAATTAAAGCAAAGTGATTAACCACAAAAACAGTATGTAATTATATATGTGTTTTCAGATGGTCTTAGGCGACCCCTGTGAAAGGGTCGTTCGACCCCCAAAGGGGTTGCGACACACAGGTTGAGAACCGCTGATTTAGAAAAAAGATGAGGCATTCTTTTTGGAGCAAGGAACCAGCTCATGGGTTGGCTGGTGGATCTAAGATGGCTTCACCCATATATCTGGGATCTTGGCAGGGATCTGTGAAAGGGTAGGACTTCTCTCTGTCATCATTCAGCAGTCTAACCTGAGCTTCTTTCTTTACAACGCAGCTGGGTTCCAAGAGGGCAAATGCTTATCAAGCCTCTACTTGCCTCATGCTTGCTAATGCTTTATTTGCCAAAGCAAGTCATACACTAAACCCAGAGTCATTTTGGAAGGGGATTACACAGGTGTTTGAGTACCAGGAGGCGTGGTTCCTTGGAGGTCAAACCATCTTCTACAGTTACAGTATAATTGTCCTCTATGTTGAGTCCACTGGTGATAGGAAGAGTATATCTTCAAGAGATTATAGTATGTATGGTCAGGGACATTTAAGACACAAAGTCTTAAATGTTGGGAAGTAAAATACAACACAGGATTTAAATTTTATATAATAAAATCATAGTATGCAAACTGTCCCCTCGACTGGGAGTCCGTCCAGGAGTTTGACCAGGGGGTGGGCGGCCAGGGGAGGGGAGTACCCGGCTGGCAGCCAGCAGCTACTAGGGACTCTACCAGTGCACAAATTTTGTGCACTAGGCCTCTAGTCCTATACAATAAAAGCCTAATATACTAAGTGTCTGACCGTTAGTTTGACTATTCAACTGTTCGTTATGAAGCGCACTGACCACCAGGGGGCAGATGCACTGACCGGTAGGTTAGCTTGCTTCTGGGGTCCGACCGATCGGGACTGAGCAAGACGGGCTAGACACACCCTGGAGCCCTCCCACAGTCCCTCCCCGGCCCCAATGGGATCCCTCGGCCTGGCCTGCCCCCCCTCTCATAATCCGGGACCTCTTGCGGGATGTCGAAGAGCTGGTTTCAGTCCGATCCCTACAGGCCAGGCCGAGGAACCCTACGAATCCATGCACCGGGCCTCTACTATCTTAATAAGAATATGCTGACAAATTAATGCTTCTTTTCCCACAATACTAGCTGTCCTAATAATAATGTCATTTAAAAAATCTAGTTCAGTTCTCTCAAACCAATCAAAGAAAGCTATTTGAAAAACTTGCACCCAATCTTCACAAGTACACGGAATGTCCTCTTTATTTCTTTATCTCAGAGCTGCTAGTGAAAAACAAAAAAACTATCCAGAATTTTTAGTCAAGTGCTAAATGACCATTTAGGCATACAAATAAAAAGAAAATGTAAATACATTAGCATATCTGGGGGCAGAAAAGACAAAGGACATTTGAAAAAGGAGTTGGCTGTTCTGTGTACACTAGAAATAAAATGAATACTCAATTACTTGGAATGCCAAAGAAATTAACAAGCAACACCCACTCAGACCTTTTAAAAATGTGAAGGCTTTTGTGACCAACATAACTACCATTGTGAATCATATATCTTTTCAATGACTATTAAATACCCAAGCAATTATGCGGTTTTATTAATATGAGATATCTGAACAAAGAAACTCGATTAAATATGATTTTTCATTTCATGCATGGAACACAGTGTAAAAGTAGCACTTTATGAAACACTTAGCAAAATGAAGCAATATCTGCAGTAGGCTAAAAGTATGGTGATAGCCCAATCATAGGATCTTTCTTAAGAAAGTTAATGTTTAAAGGACCTATAATAATCCTAAAAAACACTTTAGGATTTAATTAAATTCACATTTAGGTTATAAAAACAATAGATATGTAAAGGAAAGCTAAAAGGATTAGCTATGAAAAAGTTAAGCTACAAGTAAAATAATATTTATTCCTGCTATTTTAGAACATTTATGTCTTTGTTTCACATTTGTAGTTCTTCAGCACCAAATCTCTTACTCCTAATTTTGCATGATTGGGAATTCTTCTATTAGATAAGATGAAGATGTGAAGAGATCGGGGAGATAGTGTCAACCAAAAACTGCCTAGAAATGACAATCAAGCAACGAAATTTCTAAACAGAGCCTGATCCAGTATAGGGAAAAAGGATGTTTTGAATTTATTTTTAAAAAATGAGTTATTTTAAGCAAACAGCATAAACAATTTTAAAATATACCCTTAATCATTTCAATCATCAAAAAATTTTAAAAATAAAGGTATAATCAGAATTTCTGCTTCCAGTAATGGCGACCTAGGTACTTCAGACCAACCCTTTCACTGAGTATCCAGTTGGATTAAATATTTTAAAAATCTTTTTTAAAACTTCAAAGAGGTTTAAAAAAATCTTAGACCTATTTTAACCTGAGAGCATTTACTGATCCACAAAAGAAACAGCTATGGGACTAAACTAGTTTGGGCAGCCTGGCAGTGCCATGAGGACAAAAGTTAATGACCTTAAAGGAGGTGATTTCAACTAGTACCCCCGCATTAAGCAGGGCCCCAGAGGAATATATCCTCATGGCAAGGGCCAACCAGAAATAAACCCGCCTTCATGAAGGCTTGCATCACCCACAAAATCCAGGGAACTCAAGCCTTAAAATGCAGTGATGTGGCCCCAGAATGACCAGAGTAAATGAAGGTTCTCTTTGATGAGGTACACTCACCTGAAATATCAAATCAGCTCACAAAGTTAACCAGGCACACAAGTAAACAGAACTATCTTGTAACTAGAAATCAGCCCCCAAAGATTTGAAATACTGAAATTAATAAAGACTATAAAACATGCTCACTCTATTTACAGGAATAAAAATGTTAAAAGTATCTACAGTGAGAAGAAAACTATAAAAAGATATTGTTGATTTGAAAAATAGCTAAACAGGACCTTTACAAGTAAAAAATACTATGACCAAAATTAAGAATTCAATGCATAGGTCTCTCAGCATTTTCAACACTGCTGAAAAGAAAATTAGTGAACTGGAAGACAGGTCTAAAGAAAATACCCAGAATGCCACACAGAGAGACAATAGATAAAAATAAAGGAGAGTAGCCCAGCTGGAGTGGCTCAGTGATTGAGCACTAACCAATAACAAGGGGGTCATGGTTAGATTCCTGGTCAGAGCACATTGCCCAGGTTGTGGGCTCAGTCCCCGTGGGGGTGGGGGGAGTATGCAAGAGGCAGTTAATCGATGATTCTCTCTCATCAATGATGTTTCTATCTTTCCCTCTCCCTTCCTCTCTGAAATCAAAAAAATGTGTGTGTGTGTGTGTGTATATTAGAGTAGAAGCATAAAAGTTACAGTGAAAAGATCTACCAAATATTTAATTGGAATCCCAGAGGGAGAGGAAAGAAGAAATATCTCAATAGATAATGGCTAAGAATATTCCAAAACTGATGAAAAATACCACGCCAAAATTCAAGAAATGTCAACAAATTCCACACACAATAAATAAAACCTACTCTTAGTTTACAGTAAAACTGCAGGACAAAAAGAAAGACATTAAAAGCAGTTAAAAAAAAAAATCTAGACAACCTTCAAAAGACTGAAAAAGTTAAGCTGATAGTTGACTTCTCAAAAACAATAATGAAGCTAGAATGCAGTTGCAAAGAGCTGTCCATCTAGAACAGTGGTTCTCAACCTGTGGGTCGCGACCCCTTTGGGGGGATCAAACGACCCTTTCACAGGGGTCGCCTAAGACCATCGGAAAACACATATATAATTACATGTTGTTTTTGTGATTAATCACTATGCTTTAATTATGTTCAATTTGTAACAATGAAATTGGGAGTCACCATTAAAGGGTCGCGGCATTAGGAAGGTTGAGAACCACTGATCTAGAATGTTTTACCAGTGAAAATACCTTTATTGGTAAAAATACAAGTAAAGGCAAAATAAAGACATTTTTAGACTAAAACTCAAGAGAGTTTGACACCAGAAGATACTACTGGAAATTATCAAGGATTTACTTAAGGTGGGCAGAAGAAAAATGATCCCAGACAGAAGTATAAGATTTAGAAAAGAATACAGAGGGGAAAAAAGTGGAGGAAATATGGGTAAATTTAAACAAAGGTAGTATAAAATAGTAATACTAATGTCCTGTGGGAATGAAATAAAAAACAGAATTACAATACACAGGATACCATAAAAGTTGCTTTAAGATTTCTTGTATAATATAGGGCAGTAAAAATATTACCATTAAACTTTTCCAAGTTAGGGATATCAGTCATGATTTCTAGGACAATCACTAAATAAACAAAAACAGTCTACTTTCTAAATCAGTTGAGGAATAGAATGTAAAAAATATTCAATCAATCCAAAAGAAGCTCTTATTTTTAAAAAAGGGGGTAGTAAAGCATTTTACTAATTTATTAAGAGATTGCATAACTATATGAACCATGACAAGTCTACCAACCAAGCTTTTTTGGTTAGGTCAAAAAAACAATTTTTTTAATTTTTACTGTTGAAAGTATTACATATGTCGTCCCCATGCCCCCCCATTGACCTCCTATAGCCCACCCACCCCCACCCCAGGCCTTCACCACCCTACTGTCCCGTGTCCATGGGTTATGCATATATGCACCCAAGTTCTTTGATCTCTTCCCACCTACGCATCCTCGCCCACCTTCCCTCTGAGGTTCGACAGTCTGTTCCATGCTTCTATGTCTATGGATCTATTTTGTTCAAGTTTTAAAGGAAATGTTTAAGGTTAAAGCATTTGCAACCAAGAAAATACTTTTTAATAAAAATTCTGATTACTAAACTTCCTGTTGCAGACAGTTTAAGAATTAGTTTGGTATTCCCTTTTAAGCTACTGCCAAAGATATATTTCCATTCACAAGTCTAGATTAGGCATATAAATGCTTACAAATGTAGACCAGAAGTTTAACAAGTAAGTACCTTGTAGCCCATCTTCTATTTCCTCTTCATCTTCACTAGAGGAAGCTAAATAGGCTTGAAAATCCATGTCCAAAAGCTCTTCCTTTTTAAACTTCCTGTTGAGTGTTGTAATTCTGTCATGATCAGTCTCATCCCAAGTGATCTCCACCTTTCACCAATGAAAAAGAAAAACAAGTAAAAATAAAAATGTCAGCCACCCAAACTTGTTAAAGAATATTTATCATTGCCCTGGCCAGGGAGCTAAATTGGTTAGAACATTGTCCCAATATGCCAAAATTGCAGGGTCAAACCCTGGTCAGGGCACATACAAAAAGCAACCAATGAGTGCAAAAATAGGTAGAACAAGAAATTGATGTTTCTCCACCCCCCCCCCTTTTCTCTTTCTCTCAAATCAATAACAATAAAACAGAGAGAATATTTACCATTAACTTATTACAGGTAGTAAGTTCATTACAGGAACTCATCCATAACATGATGGATCTGGTGACTGATTCCTGTCCTCTATGCAACTCCCATTCCCAGATGGGGTCGTAATGGTTTTATCTTCATCACAGGATGGGTTCTACATCATTATTTTCTTTCCTTAGACTAATCTCCCCAGATCAGTACAACAAAATGGGTACCAATTAACCAAGGAATCTGATCCTTAAAATAGGCTGGCACTGCCTTGGTTCTAACTAGTCACAAGATTCAGAATTATCCCTATTCTGATAATTAAGCTTGAGCTGATGACCACAAAACTACTGCTGGAACTGGGACAGATATAGACAATACAGCCAGACGCTAGTAACTCCAGACTGGCTGACTGGACAGGCTTGCTCTGGTCACATTTTAGTCTTAAAATAACATGACTCTATACTTTATGTGACTTAATTTTTAGTCTTCACTTATTCATAATGGTGGGGTTTTACTAATCAAGGCCACGCAGTGCCCACCACAGCATGCATGACATGCACCTGACAGATACAGAAGCCCCTCTCTCTGCTACCAGCCTGTTCTCAGAGGAGCATGGTGGTTTGCCACAAGAAATGCAGTGGGAAGCCTATATGCCTACTGTGGGGTCCAGCTGTGGATAGAAAGTTAATGGAGGGAAGAGGATAGAGAAGGTATGTAGCAAAACAATAAACTAATTCAACAGGAATCATTTGGCTGTGTGTTATTAAGCATTAATGTGACATCTAGTAGTCCTGAATTATTCTTCTTCAATTATTTTTTACAGTTTTGGATCATATTTGCAGAAAAAAATGTGTTTCTATTTTAAATTTCCACTAGTCTTCTTTTAACTAGCATTTGAGGTAATCTTTACACTACCTTCTTCCCACTATTCCCTAGGATATTAATAACTGACATATTACTTATTAAAGAATCTAGTTGACTAAGAGTGTGTGGGAAAGAAAGAAGAAAAAAAAAAGAAACATTTGCAGGTAATTGACTTGGGCTTAAAAGCATAACAAAAGTATGTAAATAGGTTCAGACAGATGTGGTAGATAAAGATGCAAATACACTTTTGGTCTCATTTCTATTTATACTTGTGCATTAAAAGTTTGAATACTGTCCATTTCTAAAGATGCTATGGTAAATAGTACATGAAGTCTTTTCTTAAAACAATAGAGTCCAGCTACACATTTTTAAAAGTTAAGAAATACCGTTGATGTTCCCATTGCAGCAGATGTGAAATATTTTGGTTTATATGCTGTTAAATCCACTTCTAAGGCTACGTCCTTGGGCTCATCATCAAAAGTAATATCATCTGGTATAAACCTAAGAAACAAAGAGAAAATAAATGTATTTAAACATATGCTACAGTAATAAACAACCAGAGTTTAGAATCTCTTCTAATTAGTTGTAGTTTATACATACATACCATATAAAAATTTCTACAGAACACACATGTAGATGAGGCAAACAAAGTTAGAAATAACCTTGGCACAAAACTTCTGAGATTCATAAGCTATAAATCTGTAATTCTATTAAATTTAAGTGAACTCTGTGTAGGTAGAAACCCTGCATTAGGAGTCAACTAATATGAGTCAGGTGCAAACACACATGGGTCCCTCATGTTTCAAAAAGAACTAGACTCCTGAAAGCACAGTCATTGGCTTGCTACATAATATTTTGAAGATCAAATAGAATTATTAATGGTTAAATGTTCTGAATATAAAGTATCATATACAGGAGGTGTCACTGAAAATAAGGAAAAGCTTAAAGTTAATTCTCCAAGACTAAAAAATCCTAACAATCTTATCTTGCAATTTTTCCTACAAGTAGATAGCCGTTAAATGTAAATAACTGTTATGCAATTCTTAGGCATCAGGCTAAGGAATTGGGAGCTCGGGGGAAGTAGAGTTAAATAATCCATGGTTACAGGATTTAGCTTTTGTAATTTATATAGGAGATTTTAATTCCACAAGAAAAGCATAAAAATAATTTTGGTGGGTGAGGAGTGGATAATTGAGGTTCATTATGTCTACATAACATCCTTCTCCAGCTATACTTTTGCACAAACTTAGAAGAAAAACAAATAGATTTGTTTTTGAGACTAATATACTTAACTGTTACTAATATGCATGCTTTTATATTTTGAAGCAGACGAAAAGAGTTTTCCCTAGATAACAGGATTGCAGCAGAAAACTCTATTTTCTTTTACATATGACAAAATAAAACAGTGAATGTAAAGATGAAAATAAAAAAGTGAATGGTCATTGATTTGACTTTCTAGGCACTGCCAGAGCTTATTCTAACACTGCATAGAAATGCCCCAAAAAGGAAACTGAACAACCCTGAAAAGAACATGTTAACATTAATTCATGATACCCAGAGTTTGACATTCTAACAAATGTTTGGTAACTACTATTTAAACATTCAAAACAAGCACCTCCTATTGAAATTGTTAACATAGAAGGAAATAGCTTGCCTCATGAGATATGCCTTTCTTGCTATATATTTAAGCATGCTTAAATCTTACCCCAAATACCAATTCCAAATTTTTTATTTTATTTTTCTATCAGTTGGAATGCCTTTAAAGCAGCGGTCGCCAACCCGTGGTCCGCGGACCACTGGTGGTCCATGAGGTCCGAAAGGTTGGTGACCGCTGCTTTAGTCATAGTGACTAAGAACTGATGAATTTTCCCCCTAAAATATTTAATTTGAGAACAAAGCCTCTAACAAACTTGCATACAAAGAAATAGTTTCTATTGAAAAGTGTCATAGTAGAATGGTTTAGTAGGTTCCAAAGACTAGGATAATGACAAAATGGTACAGTAGTTCAGCTTCCCATTTCCTTAGAACTGACAGTCACAACCACCTAAGGTTTTCACCTCTGGTCAGTGAAGCCTGAGCACATGGTGAAAATAATGCCCAAGTCTAAAGACAATGCCAGCAATTCCATCCACTCTTTCACTGAGCAGCACTTAGAGCAGTGTTATTAAACAGAAGTTTCTGTGATGATGGCAATGTTCTGTATCTAAGCAAATAAATTTTAAGTTGAAAAGAAATGTTTTTTTCTCAGTCCCTCACTACCACAAATTATGCATCTGCGTTTCTCACGCATTTGGGGAAATCGCAGGGGTCAGCACATCCAGAATGCAATGGATAAACCTTGCCTTGGGAAAACCACCTTCATAATGATGGTATCTCCCCTGCCAGGTAAGTATTTAAGCTTTTTAAAAAAATCTTTACCTATTTTTTCCATTGATCTTTAGAAGGGAGAGTGTGGAAGGGAGGGAGGACGGGGGGAGGGAAAGAGAGAGAAACAGTGATGTGAGACAGACACATCAACTGGTTGGGCTCCCATACACACCCCAATCAGGGCTGGGGATGGAACCTGCAACCGAGCTACGTGCCCTAGACTGGAAATCGAACCCATGCCCCTTTGGTCCTCACGCTGATGCTCTAACTACTGATTGAAACTGGCCAGGGCAGTACTTTTAAAATTTTAATTAAATAAATTTAAATAGCCAGATGTGATTAGTGGCTACTGTACTGATAACACAGATTTAGAAGTACCAGTTTATTAGCAAATTCCTTTGCCCCCCACTTCAACGCTATTTTTTTTTTTTTAACGCTTTTTAAAAGTAATTTATCTGGCTCCTAATTCTAAAACACAGTTGCAAAAAAATATCACTATATATAACCCATAATCCTAAAAACATAGCCAACATATTTGAAAGGATACAAATGTGGGGTGGCTCATACAAAATACTTTAGCATTTTCTCATTCCAGTTTCTTTTTCTATAAAATATATAACATATTTTTATTGATTTCAGAGAGGGAGAGGGAGGGAGAGAAAGAGAGAAACATCAATGATGACAGAGAATCATTGATCGACTGCCTCCTGCATGTTCCCCATGGGGCTCGGGTCTGCAACCTGGGCATATGCCCTGACAGGGACTCAAACTGTGACCAACTGGTTCATAGGTTGATGCTCAACCACTGAGCAACACCGGCTGAGTGTAGTTTTCTTTCTTAAGAGTGATGTTCCACAGGACAGAGTTCTTCCAAAAGAAAAAAATCCTCTTTTAGAATATGAAATAGCCAAGCTGGTATGGCGCAGTGGTTGAGCATCAACCTATGAGCCAGGAGGTCATGGTTCAATTCCTGGTCAGAGCACATGCCCAGTTGCAGCCTTGATCCCCAGTGGGAGAAGTATAAGAGGCAGCCAATAAATGATTCTCTGTCATCATTGATGTTTCTCTCTCTCTCTCTCCTTTTCCCTTCTTCTCTGAAATCAATAAAAACATATATTTTTTTAAAAAAGAGAATATGGCCCTAGCTGGTTTGGCTCTGTGGACAGAGTGTTGGCCTGTGGACTGAAGGGTCCTAGGTTCGATTCCAGTCAAGGGCACATGCCTGGGTTGTGGGCTTGATCCCCAGTAGGGGGTGTGCAGGAGGCAGCCAGTCAGTGATTCTCTCTCATCACTGATGTTTCTCTCTCTCCCTCTCCCTTTCTCTCTGAAACCAATAAAAAACATATATTAAAAAAAAAGAGTATGAAACAATACAGAACACTACCAGTTCTAATATTTTATTTCTTATAATCACATTTACTACAAGATTAAATTGATAAGAGACACTCGAGATTACCTCAGATCTACAAAGGAACAACTACTTTCAAATTCCAGGCCATCACAATCCTCATAAAGTTTAGCGGCTGTTTCAGGAGAATCGCATTCTACTACTGCATAACAGTATTTTAGTCGTTTGAATTGATAATCTCTCAATTTTTCTCTAGAGGTCCTAAAAAGGGAAAAACTCATTAAGCTTACTTATACAGGAACACAAATACCTATTTACATTTAAGAAATAAATGCAATTGTTTCAAGGAAAATATATTACAACCTTCATACCCATCTTTTCTTCCTCCATGACTTTGCCTTTATGAACATTAAACATTTAAGTTCAATTTATTATTCTGACAAGGTACAAACTAGGTATTTTGTTTGGAATTTGGTATCTAGAAAAGGAAAGTATAAGAATTATAAGTGCTTACCTGTTATTTTAGTTTTAGAAGTTAATTATTTTGTTTGTTTTGGTACCTCAAAACCTCTTCTCAAATAAAACTGATGGACAAGCACTGTATTATAAAATATACTAGGAAAGCATTAGTTCTAGTTATAAAGAGCGTCTCCATCTGCTCTCTTCTGCCACCAATAATATAGTACTTAACCACCATTTTTATTAAGCGCACACATAGCTCCACCTAGTGGTTTAAAAACTATGTTAATTTTTTTCTATATTACATTAACGTGCCAAAGTTGTTACCAATCTTTTATTTTTGTATTTAATACTCAAATTAGAAAAATTACATAGCTTGAAGGCAAATAGTTTCAATGCCACTTATGTGGAAATATATATCCCAGAAAAAGCAATAATTATTTTAATGAATACAGAAACAGAAATACACACACAAAATACTGTTATAATAGTATGCCACTTCTGACAGACTTTAATCTGCTTTGCAAGTTGTTTTAACTATAAATGGCATGTATAAACTTTAGTCCTAATTTTTAGTGAACAGAATTCTGAATTAGTAACGAACTTATAAGGTTTAGTTTTATTATCTACTAGAGGAGCGGTTCTCAACCTGTGGGTCACGACCCTTTTGGTGGTCGAACGACCCTTTCACAGGGGGCGCCTGAGACTATCCTGCATATCAGATATTTACATTATGAATCCTAACAGTAGCAACATTAGAGTTATGAAGTAGCAACGAAAATAATTTTATGGTTGGGTCACAACATGAGGAACTGTATTTAAAGGGCCAGAAGGTTGAGAACCACTGTACTAGAGGCTCGGTAGACGAAAATTTGTGGACTGGGGGGGTGGGGGTGGGGTTTGTCCCTCAGTCTGGCCTGCCCCCTCTCAGTCTGGGAGCCCTCAGGGGATGTCCTACTGCAGCTTAGGCTTGCATGTGCTGGGGCTCACAGCTACCTGAGCCCACGGCTGCTGTGAGCCCCGGGCCTCGCAGCCACTGTGGCTGTCCGGATGGAAGTCCAAAAGACGTTCGCCCTAATTAGCATATTACCCTTTTATTAGTATAGATAGTAATTTAATACCAGTCCTTTTCAGGGGCATCTTCAGGAATACTTAATAACTCGACTGGTCCTTGAACTTGCTCTTCCTTCATCCTCTCTTTTCCAAACTCCGAAAAATATATCTAAATATAGAAAAAATAAAATCAATGCAATTTATACTTTCCTTTTCTTTCAACATCCAGACCTATCTAAGTCAGTAACTCTAATTTACAATTGGACTCAATGAAAACAGCAAGGTTGACTCACTTCCAAACCCACTATAGGAAGTTAAAGCATCCTGAGGAATCTCCTTAAAAATGATCATTTTGGCTGGAGAGTAACTGATGTGGGACTTGAGAACAAAAATAGACTATCTCCTCTATTTATCAACTGGGACAAGATGGTTCAGGGCTCCAAGGGAAAAATTCAAAAAACCAAAAACAAGATTTTAAAGGAACTCAATGTAAACATACACATGAAAAATGACTGGATTAACTAGCTTACATAAAATATACAAAAAATGATTAAAGAAATAGCCTATATAATAAAAGCCTAATATGCAAATTGTCCCCTCAGGCAGTCATTCCACCAGGAGACGTGGAGTTAGACTGCTCACTATGATGTGCGTTGACCACCAGGGGGAAGCGTGGAACATGGAGGGCGTCAACGATGCGGCGTTGGCAGCGGCCAGCAGTAGAGGCACTGCTGGCCCTGATGGGCCTCAACGAGAGCGGAACTGCGGCGGAATGATAAAGCAGGTGAGCAGGTGGCACCAGAATAAGGCGGGTGCAAGCAGGGACCCGATTGCCGCACCAATGGCGACCAGAGGTGGCAGCGGGGGGGTGAGGGGGGTCCAGCTCCAACCTATCGCCCCACAGACGGCGACCAGTGGCAGCGGTGGGGGGCAGGGCCGCCACCCAGCTCCCAGGCACTGAGGGAACAGGGCAGGGGGCCCAGCTCCAATCAACTGCCCCGCAGGCGGGATGGTGGAGCAGGTGAGGGGGCGGCGCTAGGCCAAGGTGGGGTGCCAGGCGGGCTGCGGGGCTGCAAGGCTGCAAGGCTGGGGGCGCAAACTGAAGCCCGTTCTCCAAAGGCCACTCCAAGTGACCCCACCCCGTGCACGAATTCATGCACCGGGCCTCTCGTATAAAACATAATGAAAAAAACCCAATTTTGTAATACCTACCTTATCTCTAAGTCACATAATTTATTCAATGCTTTTTTTTTTTAAAAGACATTCCTTTTAATAGAAAGGCACTCTTACATGACAGTTTTATCACGTACATTAGATATATACGTGTGGTCTTGGTATAAGCAGAAAAAGGATTCATCCTCACTAGGATTTGGTATTTTTATATTTTGACTACTTTTGAGTCAAGAAATATAACTGTATGTATGTGGGGACAGTAGGAGGGGATGGAACGGGGCTGGTGGAGGTTAATGGGGGAAAAAAGTGGACCTATATAATACTTTCAACAATAAAGATTAAAAAAAGAAAATATAACTATTAATTTGCATTGTCTTGACACTACTAGGCTTAACATACATTTAACTAATACATATTTTTTGGAATTGTGTGAAATATCCAATTTATCAACTGGGCATGAGTTTTCCTTACTATTTTGAGTTGCATATAATAGGATTTGATGTAGAATTTAAAAATATATATGTAATCACATCTGTTGATTCTTTTTGTGTGTGTTTTTTTCCTTTTCTAAGTGTAGAAATTTCTATTACCAATCTCCTAAAACTCAAGATTTAACAAAAACACAATTCTATTTCTGTGGTTTAGTTTTTAATTTTTTTTCCTTTACTTTATCTGGAGTTTATTTGGGGCTCTCATAAGGTGGGGATCTGAACTAAGTTCTCTATACAAAGACTTGTCCCAATGACATAATCTACCTCATCATTTAAACTCTTTTTATCTATACCATTCCATTTATTTGTCCCCCTTTTTTTTACCCAAACCTGTTAATTCCCATAGCATTATAAAATGTATAGAAATTGTAACTGGTAGGGTCCTTTTATATTGGTATGATTTCTCAAAAATTTATTAGTCATCCTTATTTGTTTATTCTTTTATATGATACTTGTATCCTTTTTCTTAACTTTCTTTTGAAATGAGATTTTGATCGAAACTACACTAAAACTGTAGAACTAACATCTTAAATAATTAAGTATAATAATTATTTAGAGCTGCTTCAGGCACTATACTACTCAGTGTGAGATCCTTTTCATTCGATCCTTAAAACTATACTAGAAAATAGTATTGTTGTAGCTACTTGTCAGATGAGAAAACACATCTGAGAGATTAATAAAATGCCCAAGGTCACATAGCTTTTTTCAGAATCAAAATGTGAACAAAAAATCAACAAACGAAAAGATTTGAACATGGTACTGCAAAGCGTGGATTCTTAATCATAATGCTGGCTCTCTAAAAATATGGTACTGCAAAGCGTGGATTCTTAATCATAATGCTGGCTCTCTAAAAATATGGTATCTCAAAATTTAGGTTTTTCAATTTATCCAGTGTTATAGTTTATTTCATATAGGTCATGTGCTTAAGACAATTCTCAAGGACTTTGTATGTTTCTGATGCTAAAGTAGATTTATTCTTAATTGGTTAATGCTGGTAATAAAGAATGCAATTTATTTCCAAAATATTTATCTTATACCCCACCCCTTTACTGAGCTTATGATAACGTCTCTATTGATTTGCCTGGGTTTTTTAATTATATACAATCACATAACCCATCAATAGTAACAATTTTACCTCTCTTTCTAACTTTTATTATACCTGCTATATCAGTTTCATATCTAACTGTATTAAATAACTTCCAAATAAATTATTTCCTTTAAAAGGAAAACTATGATTTAAAAAAATGAGAATGAACTTAAACGCTTAGAAATATTTACTTCAAAATAAAATCAATTCTCACCTTTACAGAAAATATAACACCTCCTTTAGGTTTAAATGAATTGAACAGAGCCAGCAAATCTTTTGCCTTTAATCTATCCCAGTCCATGTTGCAAACTGCCAATCGACGTGTAATCTAAGAAATAAAAAAAGAGAACTTCAGCTCACACAATAGTAAAACTGCAACAGGATAAACATTTCCTTTAACTTGACAGTTCTTGAATAAGAACATGATAATGATCTGGTTTTTTCACTACCAAATTTGCTGTTTTGCCACTCATGCATAAACAAGATAGTTGAGTATGGTATCCTGTAGCATTTCTAATAGATGCAATGGGATCTGAAATCAAATTATTTTTCTAAAAATTTCATGTAATTTGAATGTAGAACTTCCTTATTTGCTTAGACAGACACTAAGAGGTTTTCATCAGAATCGTAGTTATTATTTAGCAATAAAACGATCCCCATTTAATTTAATGACATCAGTTCCACCATCCATAAAAGCTACTTGTATGGTGTTCTTCACAAATTATCTTAGTTATTCAAAACATTACCTCATCACTCCGAGGAGCATCTTTATCTAGTTCTCTCCAAGCATGCTCAAAACCAGATTCCTCTGGAAATAAATCTTCCATATCTTCTTCATCTTCAGAACTAGTTTCTATATTTCCTTTACCTCTTGCAAGATCAGGGCCACTGTCACTTTCATCATCATCCTCACTATCATCACTTTCATCCTCATCCTCCTCATTTTCATCACTGTTATCATCATCATCTGAAGCTCTACCAATGCCTGTAATCCCATCTTCAGATTCTTCATCACTTCCTATTTCACTAGTGCTTTCTAAATCTTCCTCCAGAACATCTTTATCAAACATTTTTTTACCCAGTGAGTTTTCATAACCATCACTGTGTCTTGCCACTGATAGCGGAACCACTGCAAAAAGATTAAAGGAGGGAGAAATTAAGAAAATATAAACATGGAATTAAATTGAACCCAAGTTATTTCAACCTCAAATCCAGTAAAAAATATAATTTCTATGAAAGAGACTACAGGAAAATATAAATTCAGGAAAATTCATGCTTAACCAGGTTATTTAATAGAAATCTTAACATTAAGATTATTAATAATAATAATATGGTATCTCAAAATTAAGGTTTTTCAAATTTATCCAGTGTTACAGTTTACTTCATAAGGTCATATGTTTAAGGCAACTCCCAAGGACTTTGTATGTTTCTGATGCTAATAAAAATATATTTTTCTTAAAAATGTATACATATACTTTGAATAATTACAAAGACAGTGTTTATTAAAATAAATTTCACTTTCAAAATTGAGCTATCAGCTGTTAAGGTAGTGGTTCTCAACCTTCTGGCCCTTTAAATACAGTTCCTCATGTTGTGACCCAACCATAAAATTATTTTCGTTGCTACTTCATAACTGTAATGTTGCTACTATTATGAATCGTAATGTAAATATCTGATATTCAGGATGGTCTTAGGCGACCCCTGTGAAAGGGTCGTTCAACCACAAAAGGGGTCGCGACCCACAGGTTGAGAACCGCTGTTAAGGCATGCACTCATTTTTTGGGGACACCCTGTATATACCAGGTGGTATAAGTAGATTCATAGATTCATTCAATATTTATGGAGTGCCTGCTATGTGGTAGGTGCTTAATATAGAATCATTGGCAAAAGAGAAGCAATCAAATCCCTCAATGAACTTCCAGTTGAGTGAAGTAGATGGACAGATAAAATCAATCATATCAATACACGTTTAGGCCCTGGCTGGGTAGCTCAATTGATTAGAGCGCTGTCCCAATACACTAAGGTTGCAGGTTCAACCCCTGGTCAGGGAACCACACAAGAATCAACCACTAAATGCATAACTAAGTGGAACAACAAATTGGTGTTTTTCTCTCTCTCAAATCAATCAATCAATAAAAATTTTAAACTACACATTAAAAAATATAGTTACAACTAGGATAGGTACCAAGTAGGAATGTTATATAATGCTATGAGTTGCTACTTGAAGGATGAAGAGGGATTAAGTAAACAGCTTGACAAATAGATTAGGGATATGTTCCACACAGCAAGAAAAGTATATGGAAAGATCCACTAATAGAAAAAAGCTGGAAAGCATGTCTAGATGGCAGACAGCTAGGAACCAAGCAATAATTAAAATGTATACTATCCAAAAACCATGTAGAAGGTTTGACTTTGCTGTAAAGTAATGAGAAGCCACATGTTTTCAGAAGGAAAGACATGAGATTTGCATACTGAAAAGATTACCTTGACTGCGCTATAGAAAACTGACTGGAGGGAGTCCAGAGTAGATGTGAATAGAGAAGTGTAGTTCATACTCAAGGCAAGAAATGAAGATAGCGCTAAGTTGGTGGCAGTAGAGATGTAGAGAAGAGAATGGAGTCACTTCTGACTTCAGAGTCAATTAGGAAGTAAAACTAATAGTGATCAGTGACGGGTTTAGTACGGGGCAAAGAAGTTTTGGAAGTATGAAAGATGAGTCCTAGCTTTTTGGCTTGCAGACCTAGCTGGACAGATAAACAACCAATGTTGGAAAAGAACCAATTTGTTTGTTTGGTAGAAGCAGATTATGAGTTAACGCATAATGGATATGTTGAATTACAAGTACCTTTGAGTCATCTAAGAAGACATAGCAAGAAGACTGCTGGCTTGTAGCTGTAGACTAAATAAAATTTTTGACTCATTCATGTGCAGTGATAACAGGAGTCGTGATGTGACTAACATCACCTCTGAAAAGAGTGAAATAATAATTTTAACTTTCCTGCTAAATCTTGAACTTTGTAACTTAGTTACAAAGGGTGGTCCTATAGCAGTGATGGTGAACCTATGATACGCGTGTCAGAGGTGACATGCGAACTCATTTTTTTGGTTGATTTTTCTTTGTTAAATGACATTAAATATATAAAATAAATATCAAAAATATAAATCTTTGTTTTACTATGGTTGCAAATATGAAAAATTTCTATATGTGACACGGCACCAGAGTTAAGTTAGGGTTTTTCAAAATGCTGACACGCTGAGCTCAAAACATTTGCCATCACTGTCCTATAGTCTTAAAATAGTCATTCATTGACCAAATATTTATTAAGTATTTAAAAGCACTGAGCTAGGGAAAGGGAAAAGGGAGATGATTTGTAATGTGATCCCATGCTTTTGATGAGTTCATAACCAAAAAGAAACTGGTGATTTATGAAGCTATATTCTAAAGCACCACGGAGAGAGACATATCTAAATTTGCCTGCAGAGAGGTATTTATAATAAGGAAGGCTTCACAAAGATGCCATTTGATCTGAAACTAAATGGAAAGGATTTTTTAAAGAGAAAAAGTAGGAAATAGGCTTTATTTTAGTACCAAAAAAGAATGGGAGTAATAAAAAATAACTATGCAGTAGATATGAAAGAATAAAAAGAAGGCATTATTATAAGTTCTGTATATAGGATTAGAAAGACACCACAATGGTGAAATAATTTTACTGTAAGATAAGCATCAGAATTCTCTTTTAATCAACATGCTCAGAAATAACATCTTGGGGGCCTATGCCTAACAATTATAGCAATATTTATCAAGCATTAGCCATTTCATACCATTTTCATGGTTTTTGCATATCACCAATATTTTTCATTAAATTGAATATTTTTAAATTAAATTTTAAATATTAGCTTTGTTCTAAATAAAATCCCTGAAATGTGGTAGTTACATTTTTTCCTAAGATGCTGAAGTAAATACATAACTATTAACATAAAAAAAGTTTTGAATATCTCACATATGACATCTTTTCACATGATAGTAATACTACATATCACACTTTGGGTGTGACACATGGGAGATTTAAAGAGATGTAGTATTTTAATATTTTTGACAATATTAGATATATTTGGAGTATTCAATTTTTGCTCAGAGCCCACCACTTACAAAACCTTATGCTAGATAATGTGGGATTGCCTCTATTCTTAAATGGTACTGCTCTAGTAGCGATTGTAAACACTACTTATCCAGTTCCTTAAAAAACAGTTTTATCATTTTCCACCTAACTATAAAATTGTTCATTACAAAAAAAATAAAGAAAATATAAAGAAAAGATGACTAGCAATTTTTCATTCAGAGATAATTGGGTGGTTATTTTGGTACATAACTCCCTAAATTTGTTTTCTATGATATATCCACTAATTTATTTTTAAGTAGCTAATCATACCATTTATGCTATTTTGTAGCCTATTTTTAAAGCTGCATATATCATAATCACACTTGGATGTACCATAACTTACTTATTAATCGATCCCCTAATGATTTGTTATCATTTAAAAAAATATATATTTTTATTGATTTCAGAGTTAAGGGAGGAGAGACAGAAATATCAATGAGATAGACACATCAATTGGCTGTCTCCTGTATGCCCCTACTGGGAATCGAACTCGCAATCTGGGCATGTGCCCTGCTCGGGAATGGAACCATGACCTCTTGGTTCCAGGTTGACACCCAACCACTGAACCACACCAGCCTGGCTAAATTTTTTATATTGATTACATATTGAAATAATGTTTTGTATACTGGGTTAAATATAATATATTAATATAATTCTACCTGCTTTTTACTTTTTAACATGTTTTATAGGAAATTCAAAATTAGATATTTCTATTGGACAGTGCTACTTTTAAAAAAATGTGTATTAAATTTATTGGGGTGACTGAAAAGTACTGCCTTCGACAGGGCTCCAGTTTAGAGAGCTGTCTTTTGCAATAGAGGATCTGCAAAAGGGCAAGATAGGCTGAAATCAAGGCAAACTCCACTCTCTAAGCAATGCTCTGTGTAGAAAAGCTATGTCTACTCATGTTAAGAGAACCTGTTGCTTCACTTAAATATGCTGTCCCTCACCAAACTGTGAGTTCTGTGTGTTCAGAAGGGCATACCTTCTTCTAATTTTCACAGACATTATATAAGCTAACAGTAGCCCTGAGCGGGGAACCACGTCTTACTCATGGTCTATCTGTTAAATGCTAATCACTTACAGTAGTTGAATGAAGAAATAAATGAGTACCCAACTCTATTATCTTCTTCAGGCACAACTCTTCTTATCATTTGATGAGAACATAACAACACTTTATCTGATTAGAGAATACAGCTCTTCCTACTGCTCACAAATCCAATTTATTGTTTAACCTCAGGGGTCAATTTTTTATATCTCTTCTAGCCATTATAGTACTAAATCAAATATTAATAATGATTATATGGTTTTTTCTTTCGTACCTTGATACTTTTAAATAAGCATGGATACACCCCATTATACTGTAAAAATACTTACTGAATAGGCTTACATTTGAAAAAGATTAGAATAAATATAAATAATGTAATACCAAAGAATCCTTAATTTATTCCAACAAACCTGACTGCATTTCTCTTCTTGTCTCAGAATACTTGATCGTGGGAGATTTCACAATTTCAGAAGTGCCTGAGTCTACTGTCCTTAGACTTCCTTTGGGACACAAGTCTGTATTATGTTGAACATTACTTTTTTCCCCTTTTGTACTTTTTGGCACAAATTCTTCACTATCTTTCTTGGGACTTATTTTTGAATCTACCTTCTTATATTTGCATGAGTTTTTCATTTTCTGAATTTTGTCAGAGTTATCCAAATCATTTTTATTTCCAGAATCCTTTTGGTTAATTTTCTTGGTTTCTTTCTTTTTCTCAACTAGATTTGATTCAATTTCATTTTTCTGGGGTTTTTTCTTCTTTATTTTCTTTTGGTTTAATGCTTTGTTATCTTCATCCGAGAGATCTGAATCAGAATCTGAAAGATCGTAAAAACGTTTCAAGTCCTCTGTAGTGCTGTGGGTGATGGGGCGTCCTCTTTTATCCACAGCATAATTCAACTTGAACTTTTTGTCATGAAACATTGCTCGAAATCTTTTGTCAATTTTGACTTTTCGATCCTTTTCTGGCATTTCCCAAAATCTTGGGTCCTTTGTAACCTGCTTAAACCGCTGGTCACTCATTATCTCTTGTTTGGATGACATTTTTAAATGTCTGACTGGACAAATGCTTGAAGAAACCAAATACTGAAAAATAAAACAAATGTTACAATAATGAAGGCTTAGTAATATAATTAAATGAGATGTTTCAGGGAAAAAAAATACTAATTCACAATATAGTCTAAGTTAAATGCAAATAAAAGTATAAAGTTTAATTTCATTTAGAAACTTAGTCTGAGTCACATGCAGAAAACCAAAAGCTGTCAGAATATCCCTTTCAATCACAGAGTACTTGAAAAAATAAATTTAAGGCGAAAGCAAGAAGAATTCTGGGACAAATGCTTACTAACCAACTGTACTCACTCAGAATTTCTCTATTTGTTTGTATAACTGTATACATTACAAGTTAAAAGCTAATGTAATTAAGATTCCCAACTGGTCTTATTTTTTTCTTCACATTCTGGTCCCACTCACTCTGTCAATCATGTTTTGTCAAACAGCCTTTAGTTCTACAAGGCTAATCTCCTAACAAAACAGACCAAAATCAGGTCGGGTTTAGCTCACAAAGCTCCCTCTTTGGATCCGACTGTCCTTCAAGAACCAGGCAGTCTCACTCTAGTTAATAAATATCATGTCTTTCTACGACTTCTTACTCTAGAAGTGACCAAGGCCCAAATGGGCCGATCCCGCTCCGTCCCCCTAACATATTAGAATACGTGTGTATGTAATTAGCACTGTTTCCTGAAAAATAGTCACTAATGGTTTAGTATCTCTCGATTTGAAATTTTGTAGAGTCCAAAGCCATTGGTTATTAAGAGCAAAAAGTAACTAACCAAACAGGATAGCGGTGCTTTGTTCCAAAAAAGCAAGGCCTGACGATACAGCTGTATTTTTACCCTAAAATTTTAAAACAATATTTATACGCCAAGAAAAATCATAGGTTTCAATAACCCTCGTGCACACTTAAAAGTAGTATGAATGCCCTAGCCGGTTTGGTTCTGCGGTTAGAGCGACGGCCTGCGGACTCAAGGGTCCCGGGTTCGATTCCGGTCAAGGGCATGTACCTTGGTTGCGGGCACATCCCCAGTAGGGGGCGTGCAAGAGGCAGCTGATCGATGTTTCTCATCGATGTTTCTCTCTATCCCTCTCCCTTCCTCTCTTTAAAAAATCAATAAAATATATATATTTTTTAAAGAGTAGTATGAACAACAGAGTGCCAGGTGGTGTTCTGCGAGTTTTAGATGTATTAAAGCAGTTACTCCTTTGAACAGCCTTAGGAGGTGGGTACCATCTCATCCAACGACCAGAGGTAACGCAGACACACGCTTAGAAGGAGAGCATTGGGCAAACCTCCGATATCCAGAGCGGGGAAGGCGGCCCGACCTCACCTCGGACGGACGCCCTCAGCTATGTGTCCCCCCTCCCCTGACACCCACCCTCTAACGCGGGGAACACCAAGGTGGCCCGGAACGAGGGTCTCCTTCCCAGCTCCCAAGCCTCAGGACTCTGCTACAGGACCTGGGAAGGACCCAGGGAGTCTGACAAATGAGGCCTGAAAGCAAGGAAGAAGGGAACATCCCTCACGATTCCTGTCACAGGCAGGTCCTGACCCTCCACAGTCCCGGTAGAACCCTACCCCACTCACCTCCTGGGAGCCTTCTCCGAGCCTCACGTGGGACCGCACCCACAATCCTCTGCGTGACGCTCCGCCGCAATGGCAGGCGACCTGGGCCAAACTACCTCCGCTTTCCCTCCGCGAAGAGCTCTAGAGTAGTCACCAAAGCTGCGGCGGCGCATGCGCGCGATAGGCGCGCCAGCGAATGGCACCATTCCGGGAGATGCTGCCGCTGACCCGGCTCTGGCTCCGGTGGCGGCGACCTTCGGTGGCGGGGGTCCCGGGGAAGAACCTTGGTGTCCGAAAGGTCGCCTCTGGCGTCTCTCCCCCGGGCAGCGCCTCGCCCAGAGCCCTAAATATCTTCGATCGCGATTTGAAGAGGAAACAGAAGAACTGGGCGGCCCGGCAGCCCGAGCCTATGAAGTTTGAGTACCTGAAGGAGGAGGTGAGTCCGCGGGGCGGGGTGGGGGCGCCGAGCCTGGGCTTCAGTCAGAAGCTCTGGCCGGGTCCCGACCGACCCCATCTCGCCGCGTGACCTTGAGCAGCGCCCTGCCTTTCTGGGCCTCTGCTCTAATCACGGAAAGGCTGGGCTCGGATATTTGCAAGGTGCACATTCACTCATTCATTCATTCATTCATTCACTCATTCGTATTGCTTGAGTTATAGGTATGTCCAGGGCAAAGTAGACCGCTGCCCTCCGTAGATTGCATTCTTGCGGGAGGCGAGACAGTGAACAAAAAATTGATGTCAGCTAAGAAGTAAGGTGAGATAATAAAGTGAAGTGGTATAGTGCCTGCGAAGGTCAGGGAAGGCCATCGACACGGCAGATCATCTCATGAGGCACTAGAATCCACCCTGAGCCTAGCTCGTTAGCTCAGTGGATAGAGCTTCGCTTGCCTACAGAAGGGTCCCAGGTTCGATTTCGGTCACGAACACATGCCCGTGTTGCGGGCTCGGTCCCCAGTAGGGGGCATGCAGGAGGCAGCTGATCAATGATTCCCATCATTGATGTTTCTATCTATCCACTCTCCCTTCCTCTATGAAATCAGTAAAAATATATTTTAAAAAAAAAGAAAACCAATACTCTTAAAAAATAATAATAATCCACCCTGAGATCTGGGCAGGAAGGCCTTGCAGGCAAAGGGAAAGACAAATGCAGAGCCCCTGAGGCCGAAAGGACCTCGGTTGAGGCCCCTGGTGAGAGTGTGGGAGAGGAGGGCAGGGTGGACCCAGGTTGTAAGAGCCAAAAGGGGTAAGGACTTTGGGTTTTCTCCCCATTTAATATGGTAATCTCTGGCCACATGTGGCTACTGAGCACTTCAAATATGGCTAGTCCATAAAATGCACTGGATTTCAGTGACCTGTGGAAAAGGATGTAAAATATTTCACTAATAACTTTTTATATTGATTCCATGTTGAAATTATATTGTTGATACATTGGGTTAAATAAATAAGTTAATTTCTCCTGTTTCTTTTAATGTAAAGTGGCTACTAGGAAAAGTTAAACTACACACGTGGCTCTTACTGTTTTTCTATTGGCCAGCGCTGCTGTAGAGGAATGTGAGGCGGTTGAACGGATTTTAGCAGTGGAGTGGTAGGATCTGATTTTTGTTTGGGGAAGATCAGATTAAGATACATTAAGATCTCTCGTTTGTCTGTGCTGGTTTGAGACCTCCTCTTCTCAGCCCAGGTAGACTAGAGGCTGAGGGTTTTCTACGCTCTGAATAGACAGTACAAAGCTGAGGCCTGTGTCGTTGTTTCTTTAGGGCTTGAGCCAAATAGAAGTCAAGTAACAAACACGGAGCTCCTACTTTGGTCAGAGCTCTGTGCACGCCCTGGCCTGATCTGATCATTGATTATCTTCTCAGAGTTCATGATGACATGCAGAGGATTGACATTCCTACCTAGCCAGCCTTCTCCACGAAAAGCTCCTGGATTACAATTAGACTGAGGCCTGGCCAGTGTACAGGACTACAATAAATGAAACAAAGTATGTGAGAGGTTTTTTTAAAAAAATATATTTTATTGATTTTTTACAGAGAGGAAGGGAGAGGGATAGAGAGTTAGAAACATCGATAAGAGAGAAACATCGATCAATTGCCTCCTGCACACCCCCCACTGGGGATGTGCCCGCAATCAAGGTACATGCCCTTGACCGGAATCGAACCTGGGACCTTTCAGTCCGCAGGCCAACGCTCTATCCACTGAGCCAAACCAGTTAGGGCATATGAGAGTTTTTTTACAATAAATACAAGGTATACATATTGGGCATAATGTCCAAAGCGGACTCTTGGAAAAGACTTCTGCTGTACCTCCTCCCTTCTCCACTCCTACCCCCCAACAGATATACATATGTTCTAAACTTTCAGGTCCTACTAGAAACTCTGGGGTGTTTATGAGGGAATGTATAGAATGTGGGGAATACTAGCCTCCTGCATTCATTTCTGCCAGATGAAGCTAGCCCAGCAAAAGGAGGCACCTTTTTTATGACCTCTTTTAAATTAGGATGGGGCTAGGGAAGGAGTGGGAATTGCAGTTTCTTCAGAATTGGCTGACTTTTTCTAATTGGCAAACATTGCACAGGGAAGTTGTTTATTTATTTAGGAGTTCTACAGAATTTGTTAGTTGTTATCAAATGATAGAGTTTTTAATTGAGTGATTAAGTTTACATATTGACCTGTAATACACCCCAGCTAATTAAATACTTTTTTACTTTTATAAAATACTATATGCTAATATCTGTGGATAATTAATGTTTCTATTATGCTCCTGTTGATTTTCATTCTTGTGCTTTTATAGCACATGAAATATAAAAGCTATATACATATATATGGCATACATATACACACAAATATAAAATATGTAGAATATGTTTAGTCTTGATTTTTCTTTACTTGAATTCTGAAGTAATTTGCCTCAATTTCTTTCCTGGGATATTTTTATTTCTAATGTTCCTATTTAGAATTTGAAAAGAAAGTTGCTATGGTCACATTGAAAGGGGATAAAGTACTTACAAACATGTTGAAATATAAATAACTTATGGATTGTTAAATACTAGAAAAAGAGTGTTTTTTCTCTGTTAAACCTACTCATCTTAACTCGTGTACATCACTGTCTCTTCAATCCTTCAGGTTGGAAGTCGGATTGCGGACCGGATATATGACATAGCCAGGTTGGTGATGATAAATACATAACAAAATACAATCAACTTTGACTGGAGACTTGAGAGATTAAATGATGAGGGTTTGATATCTGGAATGACAGAATCTGGACGAATTTATTACTAGGATTAGTGATTTTAATCCCTCTCTAAGTCTCTTCTTTTTCATGTGTAGAAGAGCAAGTGTTCTTCATTGTTGCTTAAAGAAAAAATGAATGGGAAGCAAAAGGCGTAGCTTCCCTCTGAGCCTGAATGACTGATCTACTTGACCTAGCCAAAAGCCAGTAATGGAAAAATAGCTCCAAAAATGGAGATAAAGAATTGATTGCAGCCAGCTGGTGTGGCTCAGCAGTTGAGCCTCGACCTATGAACCAGGAAGTCACAGTTCGATTCCCAATCAGGGCACATGCCTGGGTTTCGGATTCAGTATCCAGTACAGGAGGCAGCTGATTAATGATTCTTTTTTTTTTTTTTTTCTTTTTTTAATATATTTTATTGATTTTTTACAGAGAAGAAGGGAGAGGGATAGAAAGTCAGAAACATCGATGAGAGAGATCGATCAACTGCCTCCTGCACGCCCCACAGTGGGGACGTGATGGCAACCAAGGTACATGCCCTTGACCGGAATCGAACCCGGGACCCTTGAATCCGCAGGCCGACGCTCTATCCACGAGCCAAACCGGTTCGGCTGATTAATGATTCTTATCATTGATGCTTCTATCTCTCTCCCTTCCTCTCTCTGAAATCAATAAAAAATATATTTTTTGAAAAAATTGATTGCATGTGAATTTTTGATATTTACTAAACCTAGCTTTAAAAGTTTAACTAAAAATAGCAACAAAATCCTTTATCATCTAAGCAAAGGAGAGTTTACCTAGATTTGTTTCCCAATCAGGCTAGAAGAGAATTTGGCTATTTTATCTTAAGTATTCTTAATGGCAATAACTGTTCTATGATAATTATATAGAGGCAGATTTGAGAAAAGAACACTTTCTTTAAGTAATTATTAAAATCTCGGTGGATATTGCTCTATATTAGGCATAGTAAAAACTTTACAGATTCGAATTTATAACTACACTAGAGGCCCGGTGCATGAATTTGTGCACCACTGGGGTCCCTCAGCCTGGCCTGTGGGATCAGGCTGAAACCATCTCTCTGACATCCCCCAAGGGGTGCCGGATTGTGAGAGGGCGCAGGCCAGGCCAAGGGATCCCACTGGTGCACAATCAGGGCCGGGGAGGGATGCAGGAGGTTGGCCATCCTGGGAGGAACTGTGGGTGGGCTCCAGGGCGTGTCCCGCCTGTCTCGCTCAGTCCCAATCGGCCGGACCCCAGCAGCAAGCTAACCTACCAGTTGGAGCATTTTCCCCCTGGTGGTCAGTGCACGTCATAGCGAGCAGTTAAGAGGCATATCATTAGCATATTACTATTTGATTGGTTAACAGATGACCTGACACTTAGCATATTAGGCTTTTATTGTATAGGATGGTGGGAACCACATCTTTGCGTAGAATTACTCTGTGATGTTAGTAAATCACTTTTTGTGCGTTTTTGTTTGTTTAAAAAACATCATTAAATTAGACCAATATGGGATGAATTTATTACATTTGTCTATAAAAAAGAGAATTTTGTAAAATCACAAACTCTTTCAATCATATTTTAGTTATATCCATGCTACTTAATAGTGTTGGGATGATTTAATTTCATAAGGTTAAAAAAAAACTTCAGCTGAACCGGTTTGGCTCAGTGGATAGAGCGTTGGCCTGCGGACTGAAGGGTCCCAGGTTCGATTCCGGCCAAGGGCATGTACCTTGGTTGCGGGCACATCCCCAGTAGGGGGCGTGCAGGAGGCAGCTGATCGATCTCTCTCATCGATGTTTCTGGCTCTCTATCCCTCTCCCTTCTTCTCTGTAAAAAATCAATAAAATATTTTTTTTAAAAAAGCTTCATTGTTACAAATAATTGCCCCTATTTCATCTGTTTCATTAGTTCCATTATTTTAAAGATCTAAAAAATAGCTAATTCTCTATACTGTTGTCATTTTATTTGCCTGAACTTTAGGCCATTTGTGATTTAATAAATTAAACAAATTTTCAAAATCTGTGAATTTAATAATTTTTTTAAGTCATACTATTGAAAAAAAGAACAGTTTGTAGAAAGAACTATGATTATGGATAAAAGCATGTTTTAAACTAATAGTAACTCTTTGAAATTAAATGATCTATATATCTATATATATAAAAGGCTAGGTGTCTGTCCATTGACCAGTAGCTATGATGTGCACTGACCACCAGGGGCCAGATGCTCAACGCAGGAGCTGCCATGACATGCACTGTTCATCCTATATAATAAATGGCTAATATGCAAATTGTTCCCACGGTGGGAGTTCGACCAACCGGGAGTTAGACAGGCACTGACCACCAGGGGGTGGTGCTGAATGAAGGAAGGCCCCGGCTGGCAGCTGGCAGCTGGGGAAGGGAGGCCCCAGCCAGCAGTCGACAGCCAGCAGCTGCTAAGGGACCCTACCCATGCATGAATTTCATGAACTGGGCCTCTAGTTTAAAAATAAATGGCACCACAGATCTGGCTCTGACAAACCAACACTCTGCTTTCCCCAAGTGGGACACAGCCCCGCCACCACACCAGAGCGACACCCCACCAAATCGCAGTCGTTGGTGCCAAGACCCCATGGCATAAAATGTGGCCCACAGCCCAGCCCAGCCCGGAAACAGTGGCTGTGGGTGCCAGGTAATGACATTATGTAGCAATGCCCAGCTACCTCTCCTTAGCGACTAGCCTCCTTGGAGTTTCTTCAGCCCAGGAACCCAACTTGCTTTATAGCCAGGTGCAAATATTTTACAGTTTAACCGAAGGTTTGTGAAGCATTTTCCCGTGCCTCATCTCATTTGATCCTCACAGAAGTCCTGGAGTAGGTAGATAGGAGACTTGGTAGAATCCTATTTTCTTTTCATTAGCCAGACACAAATAGCGATATTAAAGTATTCTAATTAATTTCCTTTCAGTGTGCACGAATCTGTGCACCAGGACACTAGTTTAAAATACCAGTCTAAATGTCCTTATACTAATGTTCTGGTATTAGAAAGAGTAGTTTATATTGTCAGCAATAATCTTGTGATGATTTTTAAAAACTAACCCACAGATTATTTTTTTAAATTTATCTTTATTGTTGAAAGTATTACAGATGTCCTCCTTTCACCACCTCCCATCATTGACCTCTGTCCTCTCCACTCCCTTCCCCTCTCCAGGCCTTCACCCCACTACTGTCTGTGTCCACGAATCCCACAGATTATTACTAGTAAAGGTCCTTTTTGCATTATCTGAGGCTCACTTAATACTGTTTTAATCAGTGATAATCATAACTCATAACTAACTTCTGCTGAGCATTTGTACTAGCCTAAATACTTTACATGTACTGTTTACTAAAAATTTTACACCAACCCTGAGGGAGATAATAACTTTTCCATTTTATGCTTGGGGAAACTGAGATACAGCAAGATCAAATCACTTGTTTCTGGTCACAGAGCCAGTAAATTGCAGGCCCAGAATTCTAACTCATGTCTTTCTGGTTTCAAAGCCTGTGTACTTCTCAGTGCCACACTACCTGTGTACATAGTCAAGATAGAGGGTATTAGGTAAATAAATGGTTCTCTTTCACCGGTGGTTCTCCAGTTGTGTACTGGTGTTCTATATTTTTGACATATGTTTCAACAGAACTTGAAAAGGGACTCTTTTGGTTCCAATAGGAAAAATGTTATTAGTGAGTAAAATTTTAAGTTTTCTTGTCACAAATTTTTCATAAGCCTATGGCCTACAATGAAATGTGTCCTGATTTAGTATGACATGGTATATTTAGAGAAGACAGCATAGTACAGGGGATAATGGTTCTGGTTAAGGATTCAAACTGACCGAATTCAAGTTTTGCTGTTTTTAGTTGGAGGACCTTGGGTTAATTTACTGAACTCTGAACACTTAGCATACTTCTGGACTGGGTCAGACTGCAATACAAGTGAGCTATTATTTAGTTGGTGTTTTTGTTTTTAGTTTAACATATGATATTTCATGGCATTTCATATGATGATATCTAAGTCATGAGAAGTAGAAATAATTAGTATGTTCCTGATGGGTATGTGGAATATTTTTGTGTTTTCTTTTAAAATATATATTTTTATTGATTTCAGAGAGAAAGGGAAAGGGAGAGATAGAAACATCCTGTATAATAAAAGCCTATTATGCTAAGTGTGCAGTCGACCAATCAGCTGTTCAACCAATCAAAGTATAATATGCTAATGATATGCTAAGGCCATTCAACTGCTCCCTATGACATGCAGTGACAACCAGGGGGCAGATAGTCAACTGGTCGATCAGTCGCTATGACATGCACTGACCACCAGGGGGCATATGCTCCAACCAGTAGTTTAGCTTGCTGCTGGGGTCCGGCCAATCGGGACTGAGTGAGATGGGCTGGACATGCCCTGGAGCCCTCCCACAGTCCCTCCCTGGCTGGCCAACCTCCCGTGACCCTCCCTGGCCCCAGTTGTGCACCGGTGGGGTCCCTTGGCCTGACCTGCTCCCTCTCCCAATCTGGGACCCCTTGGGGAATTTTGGAGAGCCAGTTTCAGCCCAACCGTGGAACGACCAGTCACTATGATGCTCACTGACCACCAGGGGGCAGACACACAACACAGGAGTTGCCCCCTGGTGGTCAGTGCGCTCCCACAGAGGGAGCACCGGTCAGCCAGAAGCCGGGCTCATGGCTGGCGAGCACAGCAACAGTGGTGGGAGCCTCTCCTGCCTCCGCAGCAGTGCTAAGGAGTCCAACTGCTGGCTTAGGCCCACACCCCGTGGGGAGCGGGCCTAACCCATCAGTTGGACATCCCCTGAGGGCTTCTGAACTGTGAGAGGGCGCAGGCTGGGCTGAGTCCCCCCCTCCCCCCACAAATTTTGTGCACCGGGCCTCTAGTCAATGATAAGAGAGAATCATTGATCGGCTGCCTGCTGCACAGCCCATACTGGGGATTGAGCCTGCAACTTGGGAATTGAACTGTGACCTCCTATCCTGGTTCATACATCGATGCTCAACCACTGAGCCACACCGGCTGGGCTCATGTTAATCTACATTAACTTCTTTTTACTCTTTATCTGCATATATTATCAAATTAAAATACACTCACTAAATCTGTTCTTTGAATCCATGTCATGGATTCCATATGGAAAGCCGGTTGACTGTGAGATCCTGTGAATGGCTGGACCAGATAGACTTTCTCTGTCTGGTATGTTTTCTGGTACTTACAACTTGCAAGGCAGAAAAGAGAGATGATAATACTTTTTGAAAGTTGCATTCACTTACAAATTAGTTCCTAGTGAATTATAAGCAAAATTAGATCTTAATAATTATTTTATGGACTATATTATTACAGACAAAACATAACTTCTGTGTCTGTTTTTTAGAGATTTTCCCCTTGCTTTGGACGTCGGTTGTGGAAGAGGTTACATAGCACAAAATTTGAATAAGGTATATTTATTATTTAATTTACTTTGAGAAATAAAATTGGCTGATTTTAAGGAAAGAATTTCTTAATCAGTTATATTTGGATTATATCAGAATTGCTAATTTTTTTAAGTGGTTGAACTAATGGTTGTTTTGTGTCCCCTCTTAAGTATTTTTCCTTAAAGTTGTTTTTCTTTACTTTGAATCTATTTTATACAGTGCTCCTAATGATAGCTTTTTAAGTGTATATAAGATATGTTGCTCTTTATTTCTACTTTGTGCACATGTTTTTAATAATTCTCAATAAAATCCAATTGACATTCATTTAAAGAATGTGATTAAGCTAATATTTTAGCTAGAAAAAATATTAATTTCAGTGTGATAAGTATCCTTTATTAATGTTTATACCATTTTATTTTGCACTTTCTAATTCAACCATAAAGACATTTATTTATTAGTTTATAAGCCACTGATGGATACAGATTAAAGTGGGATTTTTATATAAAATCTACTTACAGTAGAAAAAAACATACACTTGAGTCAGGACACAGGTAGGGATATGTGTGAGGCTCCACTGTTGTTGATAGTAGTAATTGCCACAGAAATCGTACAGTTATTAAACTGCAACAGGAGTTAAGGGAAAGAAAATATCAGTAAGGGTTCATGTGGTCAAAGACCTCTAAAAGGGTACAGAATCTGTTCTGGGATTTAAAAGAAACTGAATTGGTGTTTCATAGGCATTGGAAGTAAAGGCATGGCAGGAGGAAAGGCACAGAGGTAGAATACTATAGGATGTGATATAGGGATGTTTAAGAAAGGTTCATTTTTAGGATGGTATGCAAGAAGGATTGAAGAAGGAAGATGATAAGAAATAGACCAGTTAGAGGGCTGTGTTAAAGGCAGTGCAGACAGAAGAGTTAAAGACCTGCCACCTGTATGGAGGCTGCAAGATATACAGGAAGGGATGTATGAGAGAGACCTAGTAGAATCCACAAAACTTGATGACTGATGAGATATAGTGGGCACGTCAAATCAATTCTTCTGGTTGCTCAGGCTAAAAGACTTATTCATTGATTCCTCTTTTTAAAATATTTTTAAAAAATCTTTATTGTTGAAAGTATTACTTATGCCTCCCATTCCCCCTTTTGACCTCTTCTATCCCTGGTGTTCATCAATGCATGTGGCCCTGATATGAGTAACCTACACCCAATGGTGTGCTGGAGTTAGCTCACACTTGCTCATGAGAGCTGATTGTTAGCATCTCTTCCCAACTCCGTGGTCAGTGACATCATATTGATAGTTTGGAATCAGCCATTGTGGGAGTATTTGCACCATGGAAGTTGGCAAATGCTACCAAGCAGTCCCCAACCAACAGCCAGTTATTAAATATTTACCAGCACTCCACTATTTCCACCCCAAGTCTACATGCTATTCCAGCTCTGGGGACTTCTACCCTGACTCCAAGTCTCTTAGTTTACATTTCTGAGTGAAGGACAGGGATACATAGTCTGGTTGGCCTAATTTTCACCCCTGGCATTAGTGTACTGGAGCTGGCTTGTGAAAGCCTATTGTGTAACATCTCTTCCCAATTCCACATTTAGCTCCATCATGCTGGTAGCATGAAATCCTCTATTGGAGTAGTTACACCATGGAAATTGGCAAACACTACAACTTAGGGCCCCCTTTTTGGAGAGCTTGTAGTTAAACATTCATCTGCATACCAGTTGTCCTCAGGTGGCCAGGTAACTGTAGGCTGACCTTTCCAAGTTGTGGGAAGGGAAGTTCTTTATTTTTTATTTTTTATTTTTCAGGGAAATTCTTTAAGAAGGGGATGTGGGTGAAGTGGAAAGGATTGACGTATCTAGCAGAGATGGGGAACAAGAGTAGAAAGCAGTGATGTTTCTAGGAGACCCTTAACAGGTAAAGTGAACTAAGACTGAGAGCAGATAGACTGTAATTGGTCCTTAGGTTGTTAGTGAAATAGTCTTCATAGAGCAGTGAAAGTGGAAATTGAGGAGAAAGACATTAGTAAGAAGTGGGATTGTGGATTACAAACAAAACAACTTGAAGGTGGTTAAAGGAGATTTTTTCCAAGATAGGGAGGCATCTGCTGTTTCAAGAAGATAGAAATTGAAGATGGGTTTAGATAGTAATGGAGGGAGCTGGATCCTAGAGAAAAGAGAATGTGAAGGTGTTAATTGGAAAGAAATATGGTATCCTATCCTCTTTGAAGGAAGGGAGGATAAGTGAAACAGGGAAAAGAAAGCTACTTATTCTCTTCCCCCTCCCCCCTCAGTGTCTGTGTTAAATCTTTTCTTTACTCTGTAAGCTCTCAATGAACAACTAAAAGGCTGGAAAACCAACGCAAGCCTTTTGTGGCATAAGAAGAGTGGGGACTAGCTCAGGGCATATTATGCTTTGGAAAAGTTAATACATATGCCTAACCCAGTGGAGTAAATTAAGGATGTTGATTAGTTACACCTGTGTTCTTTATTTAATTAAATATAAATATATTAAGTATAAGGTTGGGTGCATATATTTAAATCTTTGTAACTTAATATGTGTTATTAAGGAATTTGCATCATAATGCTTTTATGCAGAAAAATACCCTTACACAGCTGAAAATTAATCTGTAACTATCACATTCTCCTTTAGAAATTTCAACGTTTTATTGTTACTGGATTTTTGTTTGTTTGTTTTTGTAACATTGGATCAGCTTTAATTATTTTATTGCAGGAAACTGTTGGAAAGTTTTTCCAAGCGGACATAGCAGAAAATGCTTTGGTAGGTAGCTTTTTAACACATTGTTGGTTTTTGGTCTCCTGGTTTGATTTTTAGTTTTTTGTTTCTTTATTTTTATTTCCTTTGAGATGAAAATAACTCTTTTTTTCTGATTATAAATAATAACACAAAAAAGAACTAAATAATACAGGAACTATAAAGGAAAAAAGGAAAAAAATCCCCCTAGATGAGTGGTCGGCAAACTCATTAGTCAGCAGAGCCAAATATCAACAGTATGACGATTGAAATTTCTTTTGAGAGCCAAATTTTTTAAACTTAAACTATATAGGTAGGTACATTGTTATTAACTTAATTAGGGTACTCCTAAGCTGGCCTTTGCTAAAAACGTCCTCCATCTGATTGAGGTACGTTTGCTGAGGTCGACCCCTTCCAACTCTCCCTTCACACTCGTCTTGCACACTTGTTTCGTCTATCAGATACCTAAAGCAGTTAAGTTCTTCTTCTAATGCCACTTCTTCAAAATAGACTCGCCCAGGCCGAAAACCGACGTCTGCGCATGGGCCACGAAGTTTCAATCGCACTGTATGTGTGCACCTGCACGTGGTATTTTGTGGAAGAGCCACACTCAAGGGGCCAAAGAGCCGCGTGTGGCTCGCGAGCGCGGTTTGCCAGCCATTGCCCTAGATCCATCACTCAGAGGCATCTGCTGGTGACATTTTGGTCTCCATCTTTGTAGATGTTTAACTGTCCCCAGTACAGTTTTATACAAACGGTATTATGCTAACATACTATGTTTTCACAGACTATCATCCTTTTATATCAGTGAATGACATACACATACTGTCTTTTAAATTGGATATGTAGTATTCCAATATATGAATATTCCATGGTTTATTTAGCTAAATTTGTATTGTAGTACAGTTATATTTCTACTTTCTTAATAACCAACACTGTGATGAATGTAATCATATAAAGCAATTTGTGTGTTTTATTTATTTTCTCCCTGGCAATAAATTCCTAGTAATAGAATTTATGGATTCCATATTAGACCTTAGGAAGATTGAATAACCATTTAAGAGTACTTTAAATGAAAGTACTCTTTTCTCCTCTTTGGCAACATTGGTCCAGTTGTTTTGTCTTTGTCAATCTGATAGATAGAAAGTAGAATCTTGTTATTTTTATTTGCGTTTCTTTGATGACTAGTACAACCAAGTCACTGTTGATGTCTTTTGGCTACTAATATTTGGCTATTAGTATTTTTTAATTTGTAAATTTTATAATTTTGTGATGTGTCTGTACCTGTCCTTTATCTACTTTACCCTTGACATATTTTTATTCTAAGTGCTTTTATTCTAGCTTATTTTTTCAGGATATTAATCTTTCATTATATATGTCATAAATATTTCCCCAAGTGTGTTGTTTACATTATTTATTGCTTTTTAGAAGTTTTTGATTCATTTATCATCAAATATATCAGTCTTTTCCTTTATAGTTTCTGCCTTTTGAGTCATGTTTACTTATGCATTTTCATCAAAGAGTATGAAAATGTTCACCAATATTTTCATCTAGTACTTCTATGGCTTCAGTTATTCCACTTAAACTTTTAGCTTTCTGAGATTTGTTTTGGTGTGAGATAAGTGTCCTATTTATGTTTTGCCAACCAGCTAACCAGTTTTATGACTGGTCTTAAGTGTAATTTAAGAAATATTTTTTGAGTGCCTTCTTTGTGGCTCCCTTTTTTCCCCCAGAAGAGATAGAAGCTGACAAGAAATATAACATGACTTAGGTTTAACAAACAGTAATTGTATTAATTGAGATTTTATAAATGTGTTTTTGAACTTCTCTTTTTTAATCCTTAGAAAAATACCTTAGAAACAGAAATTCCTACTGTCACTGTTTTAGCTGATGAAGAATTTCTTCCTTTCAGAGAAAATACATTTGACCTGGTGGTTAGCAGTTTAAGGTTGGTAATCCATTTGTACTTAAAAAAAATAGATGTTATAAATAAAATAGATATGGGAGTAAATTCTTAATGCCTTTTATTTTTAAAGTCACAAACCTGGTTTTCTTTGTTTATAAACTGTATGATTTCTCTGGTAAAGGATTGTGGACATCGGCTCCTGAATGGAGATAATATGATATAGTACCTCAACTTTCATAAACTCACTAGAGGCCCAGTGCACGGGTTCGTGCCCAAGTGGGGTCCCTTGGCCTGGCTTGTGGGGATTGGGTGATGTACCCTGGAATCGGGCTCCCTCCTCTCTGGTTCTGGGTGCATCACCCAAGAACCACAGCTGCCAAGTCACCGCAGCTCAGCAGCTCCTGCTGTGAACGTCTGCCCCCTGGTGATCGTTGCATGTCATAACTACTGGTCGGACAGTCACTTAGGCTTTTATACATATAGATTCTGGTATATAAGGAAAAGCTAGCATTTCCTTCTATTTTAATTCTTTTTCTACATAGAAATATAGTCCTCAGGATTACTTTTTCCCCTTTGTTCTTTCTACTATGTCTTTCCACACTTATAACACAAACATATATTATAAATATTTATTGAATCCTATCTAATAAAGCAGGAATATGCTAATTGACCCTCACACCATCACAAAGATGGCAGCGCCCACAGCCAATAAGGAGGGAATATGCTAATTGACTGCAACGCCCTCAAAGATGGCGGCGCCCACAGCCACAGGATGACGGCGCCCAGTCTCCTCAGTCCCGCCGGGGCGGCGGGCATGCAGCAAGGCCGGGCCCGCCTACCTCTGAAGTCCCCCAGTCCTCTCAGCCCCCCAGCCACCCAGGGCTGGCCTGAGGCACAGGCAAGCCTTGGATGGTGGTTGCCCAGCTGCCCAGGGCCACCTGAGGCTCAGGTAACCAGGGCCAGCCGAGGCTTGCGCTGCCGGCAGTGGCAGCAGCAGAGGTGTATGGGGGCATCGCCTTCTCCTGATCACCGGGTTGTCTCCCGCCCCTGAGGGCTCCCAGACTGTGAGAGGGGGCAGGCTGGGCTCGGGGACTCCCCTCCAGTGCATGAATTTTCATGCACCGGGCCTCTAGTCTATATATATAAAAGGCTAATATGCAAAGTGTCCCCTCGCGAGTTCGACCTGGAGCCCAAGAGTTCAATCGCTTGCTATGACATGTGCTGACCACCAGGGGGTGGTGTGGAATGAAGGAAGGCCCTGATAGGCCCTGGTTGCTGGCCAGGCCTAGGGACTGTACCCGTGCACACATTTCGTGCACCAGGCCTCTAGTAGGTTATAATATGCAAGGCAGTGAGCTAGATGCTTTGGGGTAATACCAAAATGAATTCAGACAGGGATCCTGTCCTTAACTTAGTGTCTAATAGAGAAAATAAAATATTCTATGTGGTACCTTATTTCTCCTGCCTTGTTATTGTCAGATTTTCTTTCAAAGATTCAACATGCTCAATACAACACTTTTGATAGTTGTTTTTAAAATGGGTGGACACTCATCACAGTTTGCTCATTACTTTGCCAGTGTTAGCACTAGAAAGCCTGTGTCCCTGAACACTCCTCAGTCCCAGGTAAACTAGGAGAGTTGTTTACCTTTGCTGTTTCCTTTTCTTTCTACCTTCTTTTCTTTCTTTTCTTTTTTCTTTTCTCTTAAATATGTGTTTATTGATTTCAGAGAGGAAAGGAGAGAGAGAGAGAGAGAGAAAAACATCAATGATGAGAGAGAATCATTGCTCTGCCACCTCCTGCATGCCCCCTACTGGGGATCAAGCCCACAACCTGGGCATGTGGCCTGACCTCCTTGTACATTGGTCCACACTCAAGTACTGAGCCACACTGGCTGGGCACCTCTGCTGTTTTCTTCAGTGAATTTGTAACTTCTTCCCTGTTTATTGAGGTGTGCTGAGCAACCTTAGAAAAGTATTCAGATTCTATTGCTGAACAAATTTTTGAAAAGTATTCAGAATCTGTCATGAAATGAAAAACATTACAGAGGCTTGGTCTAAGGCAGGGTTGGGGAACCTTTTTTCTGCAAGACACTTATGTTGTTTCCACATCTTGACTGTTGTGAATAATGCTGTACTGAACATACACATGCGGGTATCTCTTTGAAATAAAAAGTGTTTTAATTTCCTTCAGATATATACCTAGAGTTCCTTTGGGTTATATGGTAGTTCAATTTTTAATTTTTCTGAGGAACCTCTGTACTATTTCATGGTGGCTATACCAACTTTCATTCCCACCAATAGTGTACAAGGGTTCCCTTTACTCCACATTTTTGCCAGCATTTGTTGTCTCTTGTCTTTTTCATTATAGCTATGCTAATAGGTATAAGGTGTTGATTTGCATTTCCCTAATGATTAGTGATGTTGAGCATCTTTTCATATACCTGTTGGCCATTTGTATGTCTTATTTGAAAAATTTACTTTTACTTTATTCAGCAAAGAATAATTGCACATATAATCATATCGACAAAGTGAAATACTGTCACATTTTCTCGTGTGACAGAAGGAAAGTTTTACCCTGGGCATATTTTTAAAAACCTGTATAAAATCAATCAGTGAATTTTGATATGCAATTTTAAACTTAAATTAACTCCTTTTTTGTGGTTTGTCATTATATTAGTGATACTTATACTAATTAATTATGTGAATTAAGTTAGAACAAATGCGTGTTTTCATGTTTTAGTTTGCACTGGGTGAATGACCTTCCTCGAGCACTTGAACAGGTAAGAAATTTAATGTTGATTCCAGTAGCATGTGTTATTCTATTTATTAGTAGAAACTTATAGGTGCTTCTGTTTTCACATGGAAACTTATAAATGTTTTCCATTTTATACGTCTGACAATTGGAAATTGAAGCAAATCAATTAAGTATTTATTATATTCTGTGGGCTGGATATGTTTGGTGCCTTTTGACATATTAAATACATTGGGTGATTTCCCCGCACCCTGCCAATTCAAAAAATCTAGTATGGAGATACTTAAATATTTATGAAGACTCTAGTAACTTGTACAAAGTAATATGCAAGACTTTGATATTGCAAGACTTTTTCTGATTGGGGTTTTTTCCTCCTTAATTGCCTATAAATTTTTTGTTAGTACGAACTTATTTATTTATATTTGTATCTTCCTCATGCCTATACTTAGAGAGTTCTCAGTAGGTGTTGGTTGGTTGATATTTATCAGTGAAGAGCTGAGCGGTAGGTAAAAAGCAGATCACTCTGGCTTGGATCCGCCAAGAAAGCTTCAAGAGGAAGGAATTACTTAAGCAGGTCCTTAGAGGGTAGGCTAGGTTTGGAGTGGGAAGACATTCCAGAAAGGCAGAATCAGGATAGGTACCAGGTACAAGAGCCAGGAGCATGAGAGGACCAAGAGGAAGCCTCTTTGGAGGATTAGCATAGTGCTTGGAAGTGAGGTATACTGGGACCAGATTTGGGAGGACTTGGGTGACAGAATGAGGAATTTGGAGTTTATTCTTTAGGCAGTTCAGAGTCACGGGAGAATTTTGAAGAGGAAGGTGACATGATTAAACAACTGGATGGCAGGATAATAACTACCATATGTGAGGCACATACCATTTGCCAATCACTGTGTTCTTTTATATGTGTTAAATAACTGTGCAAGATGTCTTCCTTTTGTTGATTAGAAAGCTGATGCCAGAAGTTGGTTCAATTGAAGTGAGATTGTTTCAGAGTTCCAGGCATGAGATAAACTAAACCTAGGTGGGAATGATAGGAGTGAAAAGGAAGAGCGGGGTATTTAGGACTCTGCAAAGGAAGAATCCACAGTTTAGTGGCTGGTTAGATCTGAAGATCTAAGAGAGGGAGGAGTTAAAGTTTTGAGTCTGGATACCTGGGAGAATAATTAGTAAAAGTAGAAGGAAAAATGATAGTGATCGGATAAAGGGAATAGAAAATGATAATGAACAGAAATGCGGCAATTGTAAAGGGGAGTTGGTTTAAGAACTAATATGTGTTGGATGTGCTGGGGAGTGTGTTTGCCAGGAGACAAATGTTCATGGCACAGTAAGTTGAAGATGAATTTAGAGTTCTAAGAAGATCTACAAGCTAAACATAAGGTTTGGAAAATAATCCTTGTGAAATCCATGGGAATTGATAAGCCCTCTGAGGTAGAGAGAAGCTGCAGAAGCTCAAGACTGAATATTAGATACTTGCTATGTTAGAGTCTGGTGACTAGAGAAGGAAGTAACTCTAAAGGGACAAAAGGGAAGAAACCAAGGATTTTATAGTTTGCTTATATACTCATAGTGTTTTGTAATTGCTTCATGTTTTATAATAATTTTTTTTATATTTTATAATAGAAAATATATAATTAAATAATATATTTAATATAAATTCAAGATGGATACTCTGATTAGAAGAGCCTGCTGGGATTTGGGTCCTGGTTTACCTCAGAATCTATCCTTTCCTGTGATGTTCCTCATTGTAGAGAATAGCCAGTTAAAGCTAGTTACAGATTGTAGGTCTAAGAGGGTCATGAGTAAACATTGGTGATTCTGGAATTCCTTTTAGCCACTACTTTGCTTAAGTTACCAATTAAAGTGTTTTTGTTCTCAAGCAAGAAAGAAAGTTAGTTACTTCTCTTGAAGGAAAGCTAATGTGTTTCCAGGTTAATGTTGTGAATCATAATGGTTTCTTTATAAATTAGCTTTTTCTGCATATCAAGCCACCCAAGCTTAGTGATTTAAAACAACAATTTATGTGTCTTGTGATTTTTGTGGGTTGGGAATTTGGGCTGGACTTAGGAACTTCTTCTGGTTCTGATGTGGCTCACCCATGTGTCTGTGCTCCGCTACTAGATTGTCTTGGACCTTGCTGGTCAAGAGTGGCCTCAGCTGGGATGCCTGGCTTACCTCTGCTCCTCAGGCTAGCTTGTTCACCACATGGTAGCCACACAGGGCTCCAAGAGAGCAGATAGAAGCATGCAAGGCCATTTGAGACCTCAGTTTGACACTGACGCACTGTCACTTGCCCTTGCTTTGGCCAAAGCAAGCCACAGGCCAGCCGGATTCAAGGAGTGGGGAAGTAAACTCCATCTCTTGATGGAAGCTGTTACAGAATGGCATTTCAGAGGACACAGACACAGAGGGAATTGTGACTTTTGCAATCTTCTACACTATATACTTTTTTCTTTTGTTATTTTTCTGAATATAAAAATAAGTGTTCTGTTAGTAAAAAATAACATTTTATAGATACTAATACTATTAATACATGTATTGTCTATCTTTACAACAATGTTAAGTATAATGCCTTTCTGATAGTTGGTGTTATTTATTAAATTATGTGATCATTAATTTGACAAGATAAGAATGTAATCACAAGATATTGATTTAGACACCATATATTTATTCTTTTACCATTTTTATATATAACATTTTGAAAAGTTTTGTTGTCTTGTATTTATTACAGATTCATTATGTTTTAAAACCAGATGGAGTTTTTATTGGTGCGATGTTTGGAGGCGACACCCTCTATGAACTTCGGTGTTCATTACAGTTAGCAGAAACGGAAAGGGAAGGAGGATTTTCTCCACACATTTCTCCTTTCACTGCTGTCAATGACCTCGGACATCTGCTCGGGAGAGCTGGCTTTAATACACTGACTGTGGTAACTATCAGGAGTCTCGAGTAACCCAGTAATTACATAGTTCAGAAATAGCTCCTCATGTTAAAGGTAGACAACTATAGGCATTAGTAGCATTATGGGAAGGTTTTGGCACTTTTTCTATCGCTCTCTTCTGTTTTTTAATCCTCATCCAAGGATATGTTTGTTTGTCTTAAAATTGATTTTAGAGAGAGAGAGGAAGGAGGAGAGAGAGAAGCATCGATAGGTTTCCTTCCAAATGTGCCCCATCTAGGGATTGAGCCAGCAACCTAGGTATGTGCTCTGAATGGGAATCGAACCCACAGTCTTTTGGTGTACAGGACTATGCTCCAATCAACTGAGCCACTCAGCCAAGGCTGTCTCTCTCTTTTTAAGTTTAGTGTGTATAAACACATCTTGATTGACACAAGATAGGAATGTAAAATGTTTAGTATTTGTTATCTGAATAGTAGCTCAAAAACTATGTACCTCAGTTAACAAGGAGGGTATTTTCTTTTTAAAAAAATCTTTATTGTTGAAAGTATTACATAGCTCCTCCTTTTCCCCCCATTAACCTCTTCTAGCCTGCTGCCTCCCTCCCCCGCCCCCGGCCCTCACCACCCATTATCTGTGTCCACGAGTTATGCATATATGCATACAAGTTCATTGGTTGATCTCTTCCCACCCACTCTCTTCTGCCTTCCCTCTGAGGTTTGACAGTTTGTACATGCTTCTATGTCTCTGGGTCTATTTTTGATCATCAGTTTATTTGGTTCATTAAGGAGGCTATTTTCTAAGACATACTGCTCTATAGATTCTTCAAATGCCGAGGTCAGTGTAATGTGAGCATTAGAGCATTCCTAATGATAGGTGCCGGGGCTGACCAGCGGACCCTGAGCGATGGATGAATGATTACTCTGACACATGATTGCTGTGAGAGGGCTAAGGGACTGCCTGGCTATAGGAACCAGACAGCCTCAATCGCCTGCCTCTTCAGATATAAACTTTTGAGATAAAGTTTATCTTTTAGATACAATCAGTAGGGTAAGTAATCTTGGGAGGACATATGTGTCTGCAGTGTCCTTTAAGCAAGGACACCTAAAGATTAAACATAAAGATTCCGGTAAACACCAAGGGTCCGCTCGTGAACAGACTTGTTTAGAAAGGTCAAGGAACAATTAGGAGTGGCCACCTTCAGTAAACTTCCCTATGTCAGAATTCCAAGAAACAAGGCCAGGCCGCCTTCAGCCAACTTCCCTTTTTGGAATTTCTGCCCTACAGACTTTCCAACCAAGTCTCCTGTGCTTCCCTACAGATAGGGCAAGGGGTTGTACAGGAATATACAGCACTACCTCTACCTCCAACCCCTCAGTTGAAATAGTGCCATATGCGGCAGACATGAGAGAATGTGCATTCACAAGGCCTAGTGTTAAATCAGGTTTAGAAAAGGTAGGACAGGGGATGTACTTCATTAGGGCTGAAGAGATCTGGAAAGCAGACCCACGGGCCATCAGGGCAGAAGAAACATGGAATCAGCATGGTACATGGTTGTCTGACAGGTGTAATTTGGATCCTTACCTTGTCCCTTTACTAGCTAAAGGCATTTAGGGAATTTACTTCACCTCTCTGAGCATTTTTTTTTCTTTCCTTTTTATTTTTTAATGCAGATGTTACTCACCTCAGGTGGTTGTTAAGATTAAATAACATAAAGGGTGTGAAGTGCCTACATTTCAGTAGATGCTCAATAAATAGTAGCTTCTGCCTTCCTCTTTCCCCGTCATCCTCCCCTAGCACTTTCCAGGCTAAGGCTTCCAATAGGGGATCATCTATAGAGAAAACGAGTACCCTCTTCCAGCTCCTTTCAATAGCAGAGCAATTCTGAAAGATGCCATTACTGCCTTCAGAGATTGGTTGAGTAGACTTTCCATCATTTTCCAAACCCTTCAAGGCCTGGAAACTTTTCTAAACCTGATTAGACAAAATAGGTATTGATGAAGAAAAGCTTTTCATTGCATAATTAGAATGATAGGCTTAAAATCACCTGTTTAAGGTGATTTAGTGTGAATATATTTCATAAAATCAGGCAACCAAAAATGAACTGTCATATCCGTCCTTGTTTCGGTAGGAAGGAGGGGCATAGACCAGGGCCTCTGATGGCAGAAAGGGACTTTCAAGGAAGGAAGAGGCAATAGGCTAGGAACTAATAACAACCCTCAAGATTTCACAGTTCTGTCTTTTGTAAACTCTTAAATGGCATGAGCCAATAGAAACTGCATTCTGAGATGTTGGGCAGCTAAAAATGGAAAACTGCTTCATGTGAGGGTTCTGGTTTATAATTAAAGCAAAAACTCTCAATATAGGCAATTGTACATTGAGGGATCACTATATAATTTTAAAGCATTTTTAATTATTTAAGTAATAACACAAATATATTGGTTGTGAACATTGTACTCTACAGATAAAGTGAAACTCTGTAATTTTCCTCTTAGTCCCCAAAATTTTACTTCTCTCCTGAGAACAACACTTCTCAAAAATTTGGTCTTATGATCCCTCTACACACTTATAATTATCGAGGACCTTAAAGGGCTTTTGTTTATGTGGGTTATAGCTATCAATATTAGCTATATTGGAAATTAAAACTGAATTCTAGTACTTATTCATTTAAAACTAACAATAATGTACCAACTATATGCTAACATAAATGACCTATTTTTGTGTGAGAAAGAACTGTATTTTCCAGAAGTAAAAAAAAAATTTTTTTGAGAGAAAAGAATGTGATTGCTTTGCAGTTTTACATATTTCTTTAATCTATGGCATAATAAAGGCTAGATTCTCATGTCTGCTCTGCATTTACATCAATTGCAATATCAGGTCATGTAACTTCTGAAAAATCCCATTGTATTCTTATGAGAGAATAGAAGATGAAAAAGTCAGATAGCATTTTAGTATTGTTATGAAAATAGTTTGACTTTATGAAACCTCAAAAGGGCCTCCAAACCACATTTGAGATCTAGAAGTGGCTATCGTCATCAGTTTTGTGTGTAATGTTCCAGATTTTTAAAAATAACAAATGCTCTACCATACATATATAGACATACATACAAATATATGTATATATTTCTGAAACTTATTTTTCATTCTTAATGGAATATTTTAAATTGTTTCCCAAATCAGTATGAATATATTTGCCCTAACTTCTGCACATTATTCTCTAGTATGACTGTACCAAAGTTTTATTTAACTACTAGAGGCCTGATGCACGAAATTCATGCAAGAGTAGGCCTTCCTTCCCCCGGCTGCCAGCATCAGCTTCACTCTGGCACTTGGGACCCCGGCTTCCCTCATAGCCCCAGCTTCGTCCAGAAGTCTGTCTGGAAGGACATCTGGTCTAATTAGCATATTACACTTTTATTATTATAGATTTCCCTAATGAACAGCATTTAGGTTTGTTCTAGTTGTTTGGTGTTGATTCTTTTGCCAATAGAAACAATTCTGAAATGACTATCCTTGTATTGTGTTTTTATTTATTTATTCAATCTTATGACAAATATTTATTGAGTACTTTCTCTGTGCCAGGCACTATTCCAGGTACTTCATATGTAGCAGTAAAAAACCAGAAATCCCTGCTTGATTTTCTTGGATTTACAGGGTTCCTGTCAGTAAACTAGAGGATCAGTTGTAAAGAAACATGTTTTTTTTGTTGTTTGTATGTAATTTCATCAGATCTTGAGAGAGGACTGTGACTGAAATAAGTCAGAATCCACTGGTTTAAAGATTATCTTTCTAGTTCACCCTCTTAAGAATTGTCTTCCCTATTGTGTTACAATTCTGTTACTCCATGTGGTTTTCCATGGTTGTCAAGTGGATTGCGCGTTTTAGAAAGATTTCTACTAAAAATACTTAACCTGATATCATAGCATTGAAAAGCCTACATTTCTCTTAATTGGGAAATCTATTAATTCAGAATAATTTCCATGTTCTTCTCCAAACATGAACTGAATAACTTAAACATTAATATAATACAAAAATATTGGTGTAGAATCTTCTTTATAGTGTACAAAATTAGACAGTTGCTGATTTAATAATAAATCTATAAATTTGTTCCTTGCGACATATGCACTGTCTCTAAAGTGCTGTATTAACGTTGCACTCTAATTCACTTTCTAAAAAACCCATCCAAAAAAGCTTTTATATAATCAATTATACAGGTTTATGTTGCATACAACATTAGATATATTGCTTTTATACTGCTATGGTTTCCTATCTTTAAATGAAATCAAGTTAAATTAAAGCCAAATAGTTATATTTACATTTATATGACCCTCTTAGTGAATTATTTTCAGAGTCATTTGGCATTCTAAATGAAGCTCATTTCCTTGTAGGACCAAGTGCCAGACTAGTATATTAGGAGAGAATGCAGGTGGTCCATCTTAATTTGAGTGAGGCCTTTGACAAAGCTATTGTGGTACTCTTTGATTGAGAGATAGTGCTTTTAGATTGTTTCATCGAAGAATGGTTTTCAAAGGACATTGCTTAATGGCTGCATATCAGCTTGGAAGAAATTTTGTTTTTAATCTTAGGATCTCTTTTTAAAAATAGTTTCTTAATACAGAAAAAGATGTAGAAGAAATGAAGTACCCAGGGACTGTCTTGTTAAAAAGTTCACAAACTGATTCATGCATTTCTTTAAAAAAAAAAAAAAAAAAAGTAAGCCCTGGCTCGGGGCTCAGTTAGTTGGAGTGTCATCCCATACACCAAAAGTTTGCAGGTTTGATTCTTGGTCAGAACACTTACCTAGGTTGCTGGTTCGATCCCCAGTTGGGGAGCCTATGGGAGGCAACTGGTTGATGTTTTTTTCCCACATGGATGTTTCTCTCTCTTCCTCCCTCCCTTTCTCTCTCTCTCAAATCAGTAAAAAAAAAAAAAAAACCTTGGGTGAGGATTAAAAAGAAAAACTGGAAACAATCCCAATGTCCATTAATAGAGAACTGGTTAAATAAGTAAAGCATATCTATTTAATGAAATAGTACACAGCTGTTAAAAAGGAATGCAGTAGGTATATGCTTGCAGGGGAAGATCTCCAAGATGTTATTTTCTAAAAAATCCAAGAGTGCAATATAGAAACAGAGCAAAAGAGTATGTACTAGTATGTATGTACACATAGTACATATATAGTTGCATATGTAGGTTTTAAGTGATATAATTGTATTTGAGTCTATGAGGAAAAATTGTTCTGAAAGGATGCATAAGACAGTTAACAAAGGTTATCTCTGGGGAGAGGGACAGAGTATCAGAAGTCAGGAGGAAGAAACTTCACTTGTGACCTGCTCTGTATCACATTCTTTCTATTTATACATTTTTTATTTCTTTTTAGGCAGTTAAGGTTAAAAGCTTTTCTGAAGCCTTTTGATTTTAAAAAAGAATCAACCTCAAATAATCCAAAGAAACATATTTTGGGGTGAAACCCTGCTCCCCTACAGTCTCCTGGCAGAATTTTTAGATGTGAAGAAGAGAGCAATGGTTTGCAGAGCACAGAACGGACCAATTCTGTGTTGTTCCCCGAGAAAGAACTAGAACCAGTTGATAGAGTTTTAGGACATGTTCTCTTAAAATGGCAAATATTTATTCTACAATTTGAAATCATCATAAATCAAACATAAGCCAGATGACATCTGTGAAGAATGATGTAACTAAGAGTCCTGCTTACCATGAGAGATTGGGTCTGGGTAATCTCTGTGGCCTTTTGAATCTGGATTTTTTTGTGTGATAAATGTCAAATGAATATTTTCTTTTTAAATAGGACACTGATGAAATTCAAGTTAACTATCCTGGAATGTTTGAATTGATGCAAGATTTACAAGGTAAGGCACTTTAAAGCATTTTTATACTTTCTCCAACAACACCGGGCACAGAACTGATAGTTAAATTTGTTTGGGTTGGGACTTTGCTAGTTGAGAGTGACATAAAGACAAATGGGTGCAAAAGGTGAAGGGATTAAGAATAACAGATTGGTAGTTACAAAATAGTCATGAGGTGTAAAGTATAGCTTAGAGGATATAGTGAATAATACTGTAATAACTGTATGATGGCAGGTGGGTACTAGAATTATCTGCGGGATCACTTCTTTCTTTTTTTAATATTTTATTGATTTTTTACAGAGAGGAAGGGAGAGGGATAGAGAGCTAGAAACATCAATGAGCGAGAAACATCGATCAGCTGCCTCCTGCACACCCCCCACTGGGGACGTGCCTGCAACCAAGGTACATGCCCTTGACCGGAATCAAACCTGGGACCCTTGAGTCCGCAGGCCGACGCTCTATCCACTGAGCAAAACCAGTTAGGGCTCAGCGGGATCACTTCTTAAACTATATAAATGTCTAATACACTTGAAACTAATATAATCTAATATTGAATGTCCACTGTAATTGAAAAATTTAAAAATAATTCCAAGAGTGTAATTGAAATAATCTAAGCTGGAAGGAACGGTACTTTGAAAGAAAAAAAGAACAAGCTAATGGATTGGCAAAAAGTAGAGGAGACGTGCACAAGTGATCCTAAGGTGGTCAGAGAGTGATTATGGTTGAAATACCAAGAACGCTGGAGCACAGGAAATGGTCAGCAGATGGGATCTTTGAATTAATGATCTTGGAACATGTTGTAGGCGTGATGGAGAGGTCCATTAGTGGTGAGGAGACTTAAGAAATCTTAGAGGCCGTGGTACTTGACAGTTGGTTATTAACAGTGAAATCATCTGTGCTGGTGGCAGGACTTGGGGCACAGAGGGAAATTGAACCAGGTGAATGACAGGAGGGCCTGGGAGCCTGATATCTGACAGCAGCAGGAGTGGTGTGGGTCTCAGCAGGGCAAGGGTTTTAATAGGCCGAGAAGTAATGGCTTGGAAGGGGCTTGGAGCAGCTACGAGGACACAGACCCTGCCCCCAGCCATGAAAGAGGTGAGGTATGCAAAAACACACAGCTACCACTGAGGGCTACTGGAAAAGTGACTTTCTCTACAGAGAGACTCAACTTACCCCCAACCCCGTGAGCATCTGTGAGGTTGGATTCTTTTGTTACACAAATGTCATAAACAAGTTTGATGAATGGGGAAGCTGTATGGATTAAAGGTGTGTTGTGTGAAACCAGGGAGCCTTCATCTGGATCCTGAAAACTTAAAGTGATTTAAAGCAAGAGGATTATAAAAAGAAATAATTTGTTTACAGACTTATAGTTTTTTTGTAAGCGTTACTGCACTCACTTCCCTCAACCACTCTCTGGTAACTACTTCATCTCTGCATTACAAGTGAGAAAAAGGAGGCCTAAAAGAGAACACTTACCTCCTAGTAGAAGAATTAGGTGCTAAACTCTTGCCTTCTTGACTCTTGCACTGGAACGCTCTTACCTGATTCTACTGCTTCTCGTAGCTAACCATTTGTAACAGGTCCATTTGAGCCATTGCCCAACCTCCTTTGAGAACCACAAGGGGAAAGACGTGTAGCGGAAAACTTACTATTATAGTCATTCTTTATTTAGTATACTTCAGTACAGGGCCTGGCAGCCTTATCGTGCAGCCCAACGTGACAGGAAAGCAGTAATAACTCACACCCTCCCTCCTGAGCAATGCCCCGAACACTTGGCTCCCCTTGATCACCGAGCCCCTTAACTGGAAAGCTTGAGAGATGATGGTATGCTGGTAATTTATCATTCACTGTTATGATAAGGGTTCTTTTCAAATACAGCATTTGTTTTTGTTCTGCACAAAAAATGCTATGCTCATGATTCATTTCAAGAAAGAAAGGAGAGACTAGATATTAGACCTATCAGTTGAAAGAGGTTGCGACCCTCTGATTTGAAACTAGAGTACTTACTCTGTGCCAGGTGCAGTTCTTTGAGATTTCCTAGTATCCTAATTTTACAGATGAGCACATTGAGACATCAAGAAGTTAAGTATCTTGTCTGTGATCACAGTAAGTCTGGAGCTATGATTTGAATCCAGAGTCCTATACTGGGTATTTGATCTATGTGGGGTTTTTTTTCATTGAAGTTAGATGGATGTTCAGTAAAATGCACTAATCTTAAGTGTACAGCGGCTTTTATTTTTAACTATCATCCAAACGAAGCTGTAAACTAGAAGGTTGACTCGTACCCCCTCCCAGTTGATAACCTGGATTTTAAATTGATCATTGTTTGGGGGAACTGTTGCCTTTTATTTACCTTTAAGAGGCTTTGCCAGTGCCCTATTTTTACTGTATAGTCTTTTACACAAATCATGTGTTTTAGTCTTAGATATTTCCTGTCCTTAGGAGGTTTAAGAGGAATTATTTAAAGATTACTTGTAAAAATGATAACTAACAAAGTAGCTACAAACATTAACTGATTGAGTTTATATTCATTCACTTACCATTTATTGAGCATCTACCATGTGCCAACCACTGAGCCAGTGATAGGAATCCACAGTTCCTGATGTCAGGGAGCTTATGCTCTATGGAGAGACAGACATCTGTATTTAGCTGTAAAATGAGATCAATACAGGGAGAAACGAGTAAAAGCCCCTAAACCTTCTTAGGGAGTCAGGGATGCTTTTGCAGAAGAGGCAGCACCTCAGCTAAATGGGCTTGCCAGGAGAATGAAGAGTGGGTGCAGGCTTGGGGCAGGGTGGGCATTGCATTCCAAGCCAAGAAAGTGGGCTGTGTAAAGGTAGAGATGTAAGAGGGTGCACACTTCCCTAATGAAGGAACTGTGCAGTACTGCAGTACTGCTTGAGCATGTAGAATGTGGGGGTGATGGGAAATGATGCAGGAGAGGCCATCAGAAGCTTCTGGATTTTCTCAGGTGAGCCTGGTAGTGTCTTGGAAGAATTTTGCACAGAGGAAAGACAATCAGGTTAGCGTGTCAGAGGGATCACCCTGCAGCTATGTTTATGAGCATAGCTTCCTCATATGTTTATGAGGAAGGTGAGACTAGAGCTACCATAGTTAACCTCTTGTTCTGCCTGAGGAAATTGAGGCACAAAGAGAAGTCACTTGTTCATGGTGATGTATTTAGTAAGTGGTAGAGCCAGGGTTTAAACCCAGTGTAACAGCCTAATTCAGATCCTGGAGTCTTTACTACCCTCCTGATGAGAGGTCAGAGGCAGCTGAGACTGTAAGAGGTGGTCAGGGATGAATGGACGAGGGAGAAGCGTGGGAGAATTCCAGGTGTGCGGCTTTGCAGACTGGAAGATGGTGCTACCTTCAAATTGTTTTTTCGAATTTTACATTGCATTATACATTTTTCTTAATGGTTGTGGCATTTCTCATTCAAGCTGCCATTATTATTAATTCACAGAAAAAAAGTCAAGAATGTTGACCTAACTTTACAAAACAAGTTGTATATCAGCGATGAATGCATGAAAAGTTTTGGAGGCTATCACAGTAGTTTTAAGGTAAGTTCAGTTATTATTATTAATTTTTTTAGACAATACTCAGTATTTTTCCTAGTAAACTGGAATAAATCAGATTTTTTTAATAAACAGTTGAACTTAACCTTAAAAACACTGTGAAAGTCTTAATCAGTTACCTCCTTCCAGATCTTTCTGTTATGCCAAAGTGCAGAGCTGCTCAGGAGTCCCCAGGTGGTCTTCAGTACAGGCCCATCAGGATGCGTTAGGATGCGTCATTCCACTTTGAAGATCACAAAACTGAGTTTAGTAGAGATTAAATGACTTTGCTTCCGGTCACAGAAGGGTCAGAACTGGGATTCTGATCCCTCAGTCTTTGTGCCCATCACAGTGCTTCTGCAAGGAGGGAAGTTCAGGGTGGCCATGCATGTCCCTGTGAGGGGTGGGTTGCCCTGGCAGCAGAGTTGCTGGCCATGCTGTATAGTACTGCTCTTGAATATCTGTATCAGAAAGAGCATTACGCCTAGGTCAGACCTTCAGGAAAAGCATTGTGCCTAGTAATCTCAGTTAGCAGATCCCAATAACAGTTATTTAGAAGGCATTTCATGGAAATGCATTAAATATTTACATTTAAAAAATGAAACCTGTTTTTCATGGGTGCTGCCTGTTATCTAATCGTCAGTCTTGGAAACCACCACCATCATCAGCAATAGACTCTTCCAGCATGAGCCCAGTTTACCTGTAGTTGGTACTCACTATGCAGGAGAATGTTTTAAAATTAGATTATGTAATGGGCCCAAAATGTCAGCATTGGAAACCTGGGAGATCCTCCAGTCCAGTGGTTCTCAACCTTGGCTGCACATTAGAAGCACCTGGGAATCTTTTTAAAATCCTGATTTCTGGGCCTCGTCCTCTGGAAATTCTGTTTCTTTGGTACTAATGTTGTGGCCCCACCCCACAACAAAGAAACAGAATTTCCGGAGGACGAGGCCCAGAAATCAGGATTTTAAAAAGATTCCCAGGTGATTCTAATGTGCAGCCAAGGTTGAGAACCACTGCTCTAGTCTGACCCAGAGCCATTGCTCTGAGATCTAGCTGCTTCATGACCACAAGACTGAGATCCACCTTTTTCTTCCTGGGTTTGTCTGTTGTTCTTCATGAATTGGGCTGTTATACTCCCAGGATGCAGGGCATTACTTTTATTATTAGAGATTCATTATTTTAGGGAATAATAGGAGCCTTTAGGATTGGAGAGAAGAAAAAGGTTTACTTGGTACAGCAAATTTGTTGATTGTTTTCAATAAAGGCATGAAAACTTGGAATATTATTTTTAAACTAATAAAGAACATTGATGTTGAAAAGTTTATTGGTTTCTTTTGTGAAAGTAGAAAAACAAAACCAAGAAACTGATTTCTAGTCATGTAGTAGATAGACAATAAATATAAAGGATTTTGCTTTTGAAATCCTTTTAATATTGAGGAGTAGTTTAAAATGTAGCTTTACAAAGTAATTTTATTTAAGTATATGCATTAGGAAAAATCAAATGTAGCTTTTAGCTATCAACTTGAAAGAAAGAAATCTAAAAATGAATTTTAAAACATTAAGGAAAGTGCCCCTGAAAAGAATGTACCTAATTTTTTTCCTAATCTGGGACTAGTAAAGTATTGTAAGACCTGACAACACATTAGCTTTGGTATTATCTAACAAGTCTCGGAGCCCTTTTCCCGGTTTCATGATCATATTACATTTATGGCTTTAGAAGGGGTGAGGCATTGTAACAGTGTCCTGTCCTCCTTTGAACAGCAGCTAAAAGGGGCATTAAATGTGGCATCCTTCGAAAGGCACTTGGCAGCTCCTAATGACTCACTGGGAGGGCCACTCACTTTCCTTTTTGCCCAACTGGCTCACTTTATTTGTTTGTTTGTTTGTTTATTTAATCCTCACCCTAAGATATGTTCATTGAGAGAGGAGGTTTAAGAGAGAGAGAAAAAAAAAAACATCGATTGCTTGCCTCCCATACATGCCCGGACCAGGGATTGAACCCACAACCCAAAACCTTTTGGTGTATGGAACGACACTCCAACTGAGCCCCCCGGCCGGGGCCCTACTGGCTCACTTTAGACCATTTCTGGCAAGTAAAGTGTGCTATGGGGCTAGCTAGCCTCCTGAAATTTGACTTCTTCACTGTCTTGATATCCAGACGCTCCAGGTAGTTTTGCCTTAGAGTCACTAAGAAGCCTTGCTGCATTCTGAAAGCAAAATGAGATTATTTAGGATGTTTTGCATGACTATTAGAGCATGGTATACTATTTAGGAGATAAAAGTAAATCTGTGGTATTTATTGAGCTGCTCAGGGTTTTTGCTGTATTATCTCCAACTGCCTGTAGTGTATTTTTAGGAATGGGTGAGAGTAACTGTGCCTGGAATAGAAAAGCTCTCCTGCACCGAGACACGATGCTGGCGGCTGCAGCGGTGTACCAAGGTAAGGGAGCCGGCCCTTTCGCCACCCGGGAATCACTGAGAAATGTGTCCTGTCATGTTTATCCCTTAACGTTGCCAGTGCTTTTTCCTTTCCTCTTAAGGCACCATCAGATTTTCTTTTCTTTTCATATATTTTTATTGATTTCAGAGAGGAAGGGAGAAGGAGAGATAAACAGAAACATCCATGATGAGAGAGAATCATTGATTGGCTGCCTCTTGCACACCCTACACTGGGGAGCAAGCCCACAACTCAGGCATGTGACCTGACCGGGAATCAACCATGACTTTCTGGTCCATAGGTCAATCGTCAACCACTGAACCACCCCAGCCGGGCACCATCAGATTTCTTGTCCTCCCTTCCAAACTCAGATCCCGTGTCTCCATATCCCTTTCCAAACAGTCCTTACTCCTTCCCTACTGTCAGCTTCTCAGGTGTAGAGGGTTTTTCATGGGAGGCATTTTCAGAATCCCACAAGTTCCTAATATGCATTCTCTTTGGAGGATACGACTTTTGTTGAGCAGATTATTTTTCCTACTGGCATCTTTTCAGACTTTAACCATTGTTTGTCTTTATAGAAATGTACAGAAATGAGGATGGTTCAGTGCCTGCCACATATCAGATCTATTATATGATAGGATGGAAATATCATGATTCACAGGTAACAGTAAGACCAATCAGTTTTCTTAGTGGGCTTATGTTTCCATATGCTGTTTATTGTTTATATACTTAGGGTGGGGGGTGTTTTTCAATACAAGACAGCATGAAGGGGTCCATTAGGACTACATATTTATCTATTTCTGATGTCTTTAATCTTTCTCATTAATTTCAGGCAAGACCAGCTGAAAGAGGTTCTGCAACTGTGTCATTTGGAGAGCTCGGAAAAATAAACAATCTTATACCACAGGGGAAAAAGTCACAATAAATATTCTATTCAATGTTAATGTGGTCCAGAATTTTCATCTGAGATGGGTAACTTTCACATCCAAAATTATTACATTTTGAAGCAAGAAGCAATATACTAGCTATTTACTAACAGACTTTTCAAATAATTAGAATAACCTAACACTATCTTTAGTTACCTTTTCAGTTTCACATGATTTCTCTTTTCTAGTGATTTGAGTGCCTTATTTGCAGATTCAGCCTGAAAGCAAGAAGATATTTCTCCAAAAAAAATACACAAATATGTTCACATAAAAATCGCTGACTTGATGAAAAAATATTACACATGCTGACATTTTGTACCTTTCTCCTGACCTGTTGTTTCCATAAGAGAACCATAGCAATGGAAATGAGGGAAGGACTAGTTGGTAGATTCTCTGGTGCTCTGGCTCATTTAGAATAAAAACAGACTTTTTATAATGACTATTGTAAGATACTTAAGCCAAAATTGTCACACTGTCGCTTTGTCATGAAGAGAACAGAGATTGATGTACTCTCCAGAGCTATTAGGTAGTTTTTCACTTCAGAAGAGAGTGCACTTTTATTGGATCCTTCCTCACTTGTTTAAAGCATCAGAACTCTAATCTTGTTTCTTTTTTACTTCCAGGATCTGGGCAGGACCCCCATCGCCCCCTTAGGATAATTATGGAGGCAAAATTACACGTAAAAGTGTCTGCACAGTGATAAATAGTGCTGTTTGTGATTGGACTTTCCTTTGTCATTTCAGCCCTTAGGCACTGTTATTCTAATCCAAGTCCACTAGGAGCAGTCACAATCATTTGGAAGCATTTAAACTCAGACAGCATAGTGTGGGGGAAGAAGGTGGCCATAGAAGGAAGCAGGGAGGAAGCTGGGAAGCACACAAGAGTGCGAGTTCGTTTCTACCAGTCAGTGGTGAGCACTTTGCTGTCCTTTTCACTTAACCGGGCCGGGTCCCAGCCTCTTCTTCAGCTTTCAGTAACTTATTTTACAGTATTTGCTCCTCTCCCGTCCCCCTCCCTCCCTCCAACACACAAGCACTAAGCTCTTCCTGGTTAGGGGCTGAGTCTCACCCTGTACTCCTAGATATTCCATTACATTTGAATTAAATTATTCAGAAAACACATCCTTTGGAAGACTAAGTTTAAAAGCCAAAGTTTTGTAAGAGAAAAGAAATTACTGTTCTTGCTCTCTTCAGTTAGGAAATTCATCGATATCAGAAGCTGGGATACTCTTGGTAGCTTTTTTGTTTTGTTTTTTTGTTTTTAACACAAAGGAAAAGAATATCGAGGAAGTAGAATTTGGGAAAGGCAGGTTTTTTTTAGCTTAATTTTCAGAATTTAAAGGGAGACTACAAAAACAAATAAAAACACCCACCAAAACCCTGTGTATTAAAGTGCAAACTGGTGACTGAGGAACAGATAAATTCCACGTGTCTGTGTTCCCTAAAGGACATGTTTATAGGCATTCATGTTTGTTTTTGAAGAATGCTGACATGTGGTTCCTGCTGAGGAAAGGGACTGTCTGTCATCAGGTTTGAATGTCTGTCAGGGGTGCAGGTGGTAGGCAGAAACCAGGAGGGAGACTTGTACTTTTTATCTTTATAAATCATGAGGTTTTTACTGAGGATATTACTTTTGTTTATTTTATGCCAACTGAACATGTGGATGGTGAGGTGGGGCTGGAGAGGAATCGACACTGACCTATTTCAAAAATAAACTCCATTGTTTTTTTAAAAAATAAAGGAAAGCCCTGGCCAGATAACTCAATTGCTTAGAGTGTTGTCCCAGTTCACTAAAGTTGCAGGTTTGATCCCCGGTCAGGGCATGTATAAGAATCAACCAATGAATGCATAAATACATGGAACATCATCAAATTGATGTCTCTCTCTCTCTTTCTTTCTCTCTAAAATAAGTAAATACAATTAAATAAAGGAATGAAAAATAAACACAATTAATTGAGGACACATTATTTAACACTAGAGGCCTGGTGCACGAATTCATGCACCAGTGGGGTCCCTCGGCCTGGCCTGCAGGATCAGGCCAAAATCAGCTCTCTGACATCCTCTGAGGGGTTCCAGATTGCGAGAGGGTGGAGGCCAGGCCAAGGGACCCCACCGGGCCAGAGAGGGAATGTGGGAGGTTGGCTAGTTGGGGAGGGACCACAGGAGCGCTCCAGGCTATGTCCAGCCGATCTCTATCCCAATCGGCTGGACCCCAGCAGCAAGCTAACCTATTGGTCAGAGCATCTGACCCCTGGTGGTCAGTGCACGTCATAGCGAGCAGTTGAGCAGCCCTAGCATATCATTAGCATATTATGCTTTGACTAGAGGGCCGGTGCACAAAAATTTGTGCACTCAGGTTGGGGGGAGGGTCCCTCAGCCCGGCCTGTGCCCTCTCGCAATCTGGGACCCCTTGGGGGGTGTCCAGCTGCTGGCTTAGGCCCGCTCCCCAGGGGACTGGGCCTAAGCTGGTAGTCAGAAATTCCTCTGGCTGCCCGGGAGCCCTCTGGGTATGTCCACTTGCCAGCGGGGAGCAGGCCTAAGCTGCACTTGGACATCCTTAGTGCTGCTGAGGAGGCGGGAGAGGCTCCCGCCACCACCGCTGTGTTGGCAGCCATCAGCCTGGCTTGTGGCTGAGCAGAGCTCCCACTGTGGGAGCGCACTGACCACCAGGGGGCATCTCCTGCATTGAGCATCTGCCCCCTGGCAGTCAGTGTGTGTCATAGTGACCAGTCATTCCCAGTCGTTCTACTGTTAGGGTCAATTTGCCTATTATCCTTTTATTATATAGGATAGAGACCTGGTGCACGGGTCAGGGCTGGCTGGTTTGCCCTGAAGGGTGTCCCAGATCAGGGTGGGGGTCCCGCTGGGGGGCCTGGCCAGCCTGGGTGAAGGGCTGATGGCTGTTTGTAGGCTGGTCAAGCCCCCCAGTGGGGACCCTCACCCCATGGGGGTGTGGCCAGCCTGGGTGAGGGGCTGAGGGCCATTTTCAGGCTGCCCACAGCCCCTTCAGAGTGGGGGGGCCCCGCTGGGGTGCCTGGCCAGTCTGAGTGAGGGGCTAATGGTTGTTTTCAGGCTGGCCACGTCCCCTGGTGACCCAAGCTCCCAGCCTCTCCTTTTTTTTTTTTTTTTTTCAGTGCTTACTTGAGCAGAGGCCAGGGCGGGATGAAAGAAGGTATCTGGGATTTATTTATCTTCTATAATTGAAACTTTGTAGCCTTCAGTGGAGGCCAGGGCGGGCCAGGGAAGGCAGGAAGCTTAACTTCCTCCATTGCCAGGGGCAACCCAAGCCTCCTGCTCACTCTAGCTCCTTGACCGCCTCCATCTTAGTGGGTTAATTTGAAATCTCACTCCTGATTGGCTGGTGGGCGTGGCTTGTGGGTGTAGCGGAGTTGTGGAATGATGGTTAATTTGCATCTTTCTCTTTTATTAGTGTAGACTAGAGGCCTGGTGCACAAAAATTTGTGCACTCGGGGGGGGGGGGAGGGAGGTACCTCAGCCAGGCCTGTGCCCTCTCGCAGTCTGGGACCCCTCGAGAGATAACGACCTGCTGGCTTAGGCCTCCTCCCGAGTGGCAGAGGGCAGGCCCAATCCCTAGGTGCAGCCCCTGGTCGGGCTCAGAGCAGGGCCGATTAGGGAGTTGGGGCGCCGCCCCCTGTCATGCACAGAGCAGGGCGGATCGGGAGGTTGCGGTGCCACCCTCAGTCACGCTCAGGGTAGGGCCGATTGGGGGGTTGGGGCACCGCCCCCTGTCACACTCAAGGCAGGGTCAATGGGGAGGTTGTGGTGCCACCCCCTGTCATGCACAGAGCAGGGCCAATCAGGGGGTTGGGGAGCTCCCCTCTGTCACGCACAGAGCAGGGCCGATCAGGGGGTTGGGGCGCTGCCACTCTCACACTCAGGGCAGGGCCGATGGGGAGTTATGGCTCTACCCCGTCACACACAGAGCAGGGCCCGTGGGGTGGGGGGGTTGGGGCGCCGCACCCTGTCACACACAGAGCCGCAGGGTGATCAGGGGGTTGGGGAGCTCCCCCCATCAGGCACAGAGCAGGGCCGATCAGGGGTTTGGGGCGCCTTCCCTGTCACGAACAGAGCAGGGCCTATAGGGAGGTTGTGGCCCCGCCCCTGTCACACACAGAGCCGCAGGGCAATCGGGGTTTGGGCGCTGCCCGCTGTCATGCTGATCCCGGTGTGGGAGGCCTCTCAGCTCCGCTGATCCTGGTGCTGGGAGGCATATTACCCTTTTACTATATAGAATAGAGGCCTGGTGCATGGGTGGGGGCCGGCTGGTTTGCCCTGAAGGGTGTCCTGGATCAGGGTGGGGGTCCCCACTGGGGTACCTGGCCAGCCTGGATGAGGGGATGATGGCTGTTTGCAGCTGGTCACACACCCTTCAGGGTGGGGGTCCCCACTAGGATGCCTGGCCAGTCTGGGTGAGGGGCTGAGGGCTGTTTTCAGGCTGGGACTGAAGTTCCCAACTGCTCCTTTTTTTCTTTTTTTTTTTTTTATTCTGGGCCAGCTTTAGCTCTGAGGCTTGGCTCCAGCTCTGAGGCCTCAGCTGCTGAAAACAGGTATCTGGTTTGTTTCAGTTCTATAATCGAAACTCTGTATCAACTCCAGCTCTGAGATCCCAGCTAGCTGAAAGCAGGTTTCTGGGGTTTTGTTTAGCTTCTATATTTGTTACAATGTTTCTTAAACTGCAGGCTCAGAGGGCAGCAACACAGTCGGGGAACGTTGCAGTCCTCCGTCACTGAAGCAAGCAAGCCTCATGTTCAGTTTAAGCTGACTGGCTGCCGACCGCCATCTTGGCTGGCAGTTAATTTGCATATTGCCCTGATTAGCCAATGGGAAGGGTAGCGGTCGTACGCCAATTACCATGTTTCTCTTTTATTAGATAGGATTGGTTGAATGGCCGACCGGTCAACTGGACACTTTTATTATATAGGATGGGTGACAGTAGTAAAATTAAGTTAATGTCTGCTTGAAATATTAAGCTTTAATTGTTTGGAACCTTCAGGAAAT